AGACTATACTTTTACTTTCACTTCTGGCTTACCTGTTTCTGGGTGTGGCTATAGTCCATGGCATCCCCACCCTTCCCTCAGCACCAGGACTCTCTGCAGTGTTGGCTGGAGCCTTTCTCAGCCTAGTCACAGAGAGTAAGAGTCAAAACATGGCAATGTTCCCCTCTCCTGTCAATACACAATCCTTCCATCTTCCCCTTTCCTGCCTAAGGATTGTCCTTATCTCTCCAGGAAAGAATTCCAACTCTTAAGACCAGTCTCACCATTCAGGCTGATTGGACTTGAAGTCTTGTTCTCATCAAGCCAATCTTTCCCCCCTCCCATCATGCCTTGAGTGCTCTTCCTACATCCCAAGTGTCCCAAGTCACCCTGTAGTCCTATCTTTATCTAAGCAATCCCCATTCCACAAATATTTAGTGAATAACCTCTATATACCAGGAGTCACATTGTGGGCAGAGAAAACAGAATCAAGATCATTAAAACCCTGCCCTCTTAGAGCAGAAATGTCAGAGGTGATGTCATAATAAACAGTGTCCCTAAAGACTTTTTGCAAGGCACTGGTTCTCCACCATGCTGCCTAATAGGATGTCTCAGAGGGTACCCAGATGTCCTGATACCCCATCACACTCCAAGCCCATCACAACAGGGCCTCTGGAGGTAGGGAGGTCCCAATATCAGCATCTCATAAAGCTTCCATGTGAGCTCAGTGTGGCCCATTCTAAGAACCATGAGTGGTTGAACCCTCGGATGCAGATCCTGTAGGCACGGGAGACTTTCTGAATTTACAGAGATCAGTAATCTCTTCCTAAAATGGAAATAACCCATTAAACCTATCAATGATCCCAGAAATCTTTTGCAAGCCCAGCCTACTAGGTTTCCAAGAATAATGCAGCTGTGAGGTTGAGATGTATTAGAACAATAGAAGGAAAGAGGTTATTAAGGTGTCTACTGTGGCTTGAATGAAAATGTCTACCATAGTCCTGGCTGTTTGAACACTTTGTCCCCAGGTGGTGGCTCTATTTGAAGAGGTAATGGGGAGGTAGGGTCTTGCTAGAGACAGTACATCACTAGAGGCAGGGTCTGAGAGTTAAAAGACCCCTCCACCTCCAGCTCACTCCCTCTGCTTTCTGCTTGCATTGGAAGATGTGATCTCTTGGCTTCCTGATCCTGACACTATGCATACTGCTTGTTGTCATGTCCACACCACGATGAACTCTTATCCTCTGGAACTACAAACTAAAACAACCCCCACCCCTGTGAGGTGCCTTGGTCATGGTATTGTATCACAACAACAGAAGTAATAAAGTGTTCAAGCAGATGGTGTCTGCCCTGCTGAAAGCCAGGTTATTTCTAAGACAACCCTGGCCTGTTATGAGTATGTTTTTCCCTGCAGGTCTGGACCCACAGCTGCGCCAGCCCCACATAACACACAGAGACGCTGTATTAGATATAAAGCTGTTGGCCTATTACTAGCATTTCTTATTGGCTAGCGCTGTCTTAATTATTAACCCATTTCTATAATCTAAGTATTTCCGCGTGGTCTCATCTTACCAGGGAGAGGCCCCGGCATCCTTCTCTCTCAGTCCTCCATCTTGGATCTCCCTCCTATTTCCTCTCTCCTCCTAGTCTCTTAGTCCCACCTATCTTGCTTTCTATTGGCTAACAGTGCCAATAGAAATATTTACAGAATGACATCCCCCATCACTGGCCTTATTTTTCAGGTGACATGACAGGACTGTCAAGATCTTCACATGCAATAGAAAACCATGAAAGAGTTCTGCAGAGATGACAAGGACAATAGTAGACACCATCCTTTCTGGAACCAACCTGTTTGGTTTCGACAGCTAAGGTGATGCAGTGAATGTGTGGAGACCACTGTTCCTTACAGGTCCCTTGGTAACAGGAGATGTCATTCTGTATATGTTTCTCATACTGGTTTAATGAATAAAGCACTATTGGCCAATAGGAAAGCAAGATAGGCGGGACTAGGAGACAAGGAGGAAAGAGGAAGTAGTAAGGAGGGCCAAGATGGAGAAACTGGGGAGATGAGACGCTGGCCCCTTTCCCAGGTAAGAAGACCACGTGGAAATACATAGAAATGGGTTAATACTTAAAACAGAGCTAGCCGATAAGAAACTAGTACCTGGCCAACAGAATTATAACATATACAGAGTCTCTGTGTGTTAATTGGGGCTGGCGCGGCAGCGGGACAAGACTGGGCGGCGGGTAGAAAAACCATACTCCTTTACACCTTGGTCAGTCTTTTTCTCATTTAATCTTCCAGCTGCCTTCTAACAGAACTCACAGTAGTGTTCTGACAGAACTGAGACTGTCTTATGTAAATGACTCCCCAGGGCTAGCAAGTTGGCAAATGGCAAGAGGTAGTATGAAAGAGAATCATTTGAATGCATTTTATTCCTAATTCCACATTCTCTGATATCACTCAGGTCAGTATCTTAACATCAACACCACAGAACTATTTACACCAAAGGCATGGGTAAGTGCTGTACATCAGGCCTTTTATGCTCCCCCCCCCCCTGTAAGGTGTATGGGTTTTTTTCGCCCGCCGCCGAGGCTTGTCCCGCCGCCACGCCAGCCCCAATTAACACACAGAGACTCTGTATTTGATATAATGCTGTTGGCCCATTATTTGTTTTTCCGTACTTGTTACACCCCCCACCAGCCCAGAGATGGAGTTATCAAATAATGAATAAACCAATCTGCTAAAATAGAATTTTTAGGAAAAAATGAACTATTCCTTATAAGTAAATGGGGTTTGTATAATTAAAATTTAATGGATGTCCTGGATTTATATTATCAAACACAACAACTTCACTAGAGAGCTGTTGCTAACACCTGTGTTCCTTCCCACCATTCTGTTATTATGAACATTTGACTAATGCATTAGGGTTTAATACCAGATGTTCAGTAACATACTTAGGGAGCTTGTAGGCTCTTAAAATGTTCATTTGTTAACTCTGATGGTTAGTGATCTTGTTAGCTTGACAGAACCAGAAATTAGCTGGGATATGGGCCTTTGGCCATGTGGGGTGTGTCTTGAGGTAGGAAGACCTACTCCATCAAAACACAGTCCGGGAATGAAGTAGAGTGAGAATTTTGCAGGCTTTTGAGAACTGTCCAAGAAAACAGGCCAAAAGTCTTGTGACCTCATTTCCTTCAAAACACCGAATTGTGCATGGAATGTGTTTTTGTGCTCATGCCAGGTGTAGTGGAAAAGAGTGAGTTTACTTCAGATTACTCATTACCCCTTGCTGCCATTATTTGGTTAAATGTTTAAACTGTCCTTTGTGTGCTCTGTAGAAAAACATGTTTTTGCCACACATGGTTTATCTTTATTATTGTATGCAGCTTGAACTCAAGTGAACTTTACTCCTATGAACTCTCTGAACTCTCAGAATATAAATTGTCTTCTGCTCTGAATATACTTGCCTCTTGTAGGAGACTCTAGTCTGCCTCATTAATCATATCAACTCCATTCTCCCAGGTTCAATCATCTGTAGAGCAGTGACACTATCCATCAGAGGAAGGCTTATGATAGTTCTTCTGTAGAATCTGATTTGTGTCTTCTGATTCAGTGTCAGACAGGGGCCTCCATACTTGGAAATTGCTTAGTCTTGGAGATGGCAGGTGGGCCATGGGAATCAACCTTCAATGGTTTGAATATGAAACCCCCATAGTCTCTTGTGTTTGAACCCTGGGATCCAGGTGGTGGTGATATTTTAGGAGAGTGTACAAACCTTGGGACTGTGGTCTAGCTAAAAAGAAATGGGTTTCCAGGGGTGAGGCTTGAAAGTGGATCTAGCCTGAGCCATCTGCTTTCTGATCTGAGAAATTGCATCAACAATGAGCTCCCACCTCCCTGGACTAGACCATTCCATCATGCCTTTTCCACCATGATGAGACTATGAATCAGTGTAAATCCCTCTTCCTTCAAGTTTCTTCTGCATGTGTTCCATTGCAGGATTGAGAAGAGTAATTGATATAAGCTATAAAAAACTACCAGAAGGAACCAGAGCCGAGGATGGTGGCTGCAGAGACAACTGTGGATACGGAGAAGGGGGTCCTTTGGCTTGTTCATAAACATACACATACTTCTTAACAGCCATTACAAAAATAATTTGGCAATATACTTAAAAAGAAATGGAAATGCAGTTTGTAATTATAATACTAGTGATTATCCTAGAGTTAATTACATGTGGATGCGTGTGAGTACCATTCCTACTTTGAATAGGTGACAATTTCTTATAAAATGTAAGGAAAGTATTAATTATAAGGGAAATATCAGTAAGTAGAGTGCATCTGGCACAAACATAGGAACTTCCATTCACCAAAAGGCACCTTTAAGAAATTGAAAAGGTAGGACTGGATAGTTCAGTAGCTAAGAGCACTTGCTACCCTTACAGAAGAGAATCCAGGTTTTGTTTCCTGCACCCACATGACAGCTCACAACCATCTGTAACTCCATTTCAGGGCATCTGATACCCTCTTCTGGCTTCTGCAGGCACTGCATACATGGGTCATCCATGCAATCACTCTGACTCACATGCAAATACATAAAATAAAATTAATAGAAAGGTATACAAAATAGAGTGTATAAAAAGTTTAATAGGTGTAGGAGTAACTATGTGTAAATTTATTTGACCAAAAATATGTAAAGAAAAACTATCGTTAAGAAAAAAAAACATTAAAAACAACACCCCCCAAAACCACCTAAATAACCTAAATAGATGTTGATGCAAATTCTTTTTCTTCATCCCATAAGAACCAAGCAGTTGCACTAGCTCCCAGCCACACTTTTCCCAGTCTCTTCCTGGACTCTAGCCTGCCACAGAGCAGCAGTGTTTTACCCTAAGGGTCATTTAACAGACTTCACAATAAGGCCTTAGCTAAGCCAGTTATGACATGGTGAGTGCTTTTGACTGTCCCTTGAGCTCCCATCAAACTGAGTAGTACTCCAGGCAAACTCCAGGCAGTAACACCTCCTGTCCTAACCTATTGCCGGAGTATGATTAAAGAGTGGGAAAATCGCTTTCAGAGGTTTAGAAGCCAAAGAGCTGGACATCTGAAGGCCCAGGAAGGGACTACTGCTGAGGGTGGGCAAGATAACAAAAAGCCATCCAAGATCCCCAGTGTCACCCATCCCTCGGTAGCCCAAGACTTCCCATACTGCAAAGAGGACATCTGCACTGCAACACCTCTGGGGTGAGATGGCCTCGGCCTAATTAATTTAGATCCACCACCTGCCAGTTTCTCACCACAAGAAAAAACTAGAACGACCCTTTCCAGAGCTCTAACTCATTGTCCCTCTGCCTTCCAGGATATGGACAGCATTCTACAAATCAGACCCACGCATTGCCCTTGGAAAATACTCCCCAATGGAACAAGAGATCCTAGTAAGTGCCCCCAAGTTTGCATGGACAGAGTCCCTCTGGAGTCTGCTTGCAGATGTAGGGGGAATTCCAGGGTTCAAAATCCACCAAACATAGACATTTCCACAATGAAAGTGGGATGAGACATTTCTAGCCATGTTGGTTGTGTCTACTGGTGGATTTCATTCTCTGAACATCCCTACCAGGAGTACAGCCATAAGCGGGACTGGAAAAAATGACTTGAGGGAACCTTTGCTGTGTAAGCATGAAAACCCTAGTTGAATCCTTAGCACCTATATAAAAATGCCAGGCATGGCTGAGTTTGCTATAACCCTGGCACTGGGGAGCAGAGACAGATGAACGCTGTGAGACTGCTGGCCCACCTAAACAAAATGGCTAGCTTCTAGGTCTGTGAGAGGCAATGTCTCGAAAGAATATGGAGCAAAGTGATGGGGGAAGCACCTAATGTCTTCTTCTGGTTCTTCATGCGTATGTCCATGACATTCACCCTCCCCCTATATGTTACCAACACATACATCAAACAGAAAAGCACAAACAAATATAAGTGTGATAATAAATTAGGAAACTGCCATTTCTTAAGTACTTACCTGGCACTATGCTGTGCTTTGACTATGACAGTGTCCCCCATTTGACTCATATGTTCTAATACTCAGTCTTTCAATACCACATAAGATGTGCACAACATTTAATCATGGTAGAGGGGAATCTCACAAGGCCTCACCCCTCCCAAAGAAGTCATTTTTCTTCAGTAATGTAACCACCGGTAAGTTGTCTGTGCTCCAGGAAAAAACAAAACAAAACAAAACAAACAAACAAAAAAAACTTTTACCAATGCTCGTGTAAACAACACAAAACAAAAAGAAAAATAAAAAAGGCAAGACATGAAAAAAGGACATGTATAGAAGGAGAAGAAGTTCAGCGGGATTGAGAGGGGGATGAGAGCAAGTAAAGGGTGACAATGTTCATTACATACATGTATGAAACTGTCATAAACAAAAATGAGGAGCAGGAAAGAGTCTAAGCTGCTCTTTCAGGGTTCCGCTCCCAGCACCCAAGTCAGACAACTCACATCTGCACATAACTGTAGTTCTAGGGTATCCAACACCATCTTCTAGCAGACACACACACACACACACACACATACACACACACCTGAAAACAAAATTAATCTTTTAAAAACAAATAGTTGAAAAAAATAAAAATGAAAATCAAAAAAGATGAGGATAAGAAAGCCGCAAATGTAAAAACGTAAGCGATAAAGACGACACTTCCAGGTCCTCGGCTTTTCTTTTGGACACTTTGAGTGGGAAGTGTCCCCCACAAGCTCATGTCTTTCATATGGCTCCCAGTTAGTCGCACAGTTTTGAGAGGTTATGGAACTTTTAGGACATGAGGTCCAGTTGAAGAATGACGGGGTCACTAAGAGGATGGGCCTTCAGGTTTTGCCTGGTCTTGGCTCCTCTGAGGTAGGCAAGCTACTCCATGTTCTCACCACCATGGAACTGCTGCTACCATGATGAATTGTATCCCCTCAAACTCTGAGCCAGAACAAAGTTCCTTCTCTCTGTGTTTAGTCACAGTGATAAGTCACAGGCATTTAGCCACGGTGATAATAACACACACACACACACACACACACACACACACACACACACACACACACTAGTTGCTCTCACAAACATTACCTTTTGAGACTTCACAATAATCTTTGTAATGTCAATAAAGTGATCCTAAATTCATAGTGGATGGAAGGAGAGCCAGGCTTTGCACCCAGGTCTATTTAATCCCCTCTTTCCCGTTTATAGGGGTTCAATGCTCTTAGCAGTGGAGAGAGAACCAGCCACTTGGAATTCTTTCCACTAGGGATTGAGTGTAGGTATTGAGACTTTTAACCACCTGTTCCCGTTTTTAGCATCTCGGTGGTGTTCACACCATAGCAGCAAGAAGATTTTTGGCTGACAAGCACAACAAAGAATGGAGGATGCTGAGGGAACTACAGGCACAATCACCAGACTACAAAAAGGCAACAAAATACAGAAAAGAGTTCTCCTCTTGTTCTGTGTGTGGACCCCCAGAAAAAATATGGACAGCAAATGTGGTTGTGCCTGCGGAGGAATTTAAAATGCCCTGCCGAGAGATGATCAACATCAACAAGCATATAAAAAGGATGCAGCTGGCGCGAGCCTTGAGAAATAAGCAGTTTTCGCCATACATTGAAAGGCTCCGGAGTGCCACATTGTTGTCTGGAGCAGAACTGGATTCCACTGGAACAGACAAGTCCAGTGAAGAGGCAGACAACTCTGACAGGGATAACTGTGATAAAGCCACCCAAGAGGAGAAAGGGGAGGCAGAGTTCAAGCCCACAAAAAGACGAGAGATTGCAATGAACGTGACTTTCAAGTCAGAAGAACGCAAAGGGTGTTTGATATGCCATCGGAATGATCGGAAAACTTTCCTCCCCACGAAGAAGAGGCAGGAGCGGTGCATCACCGGCATGACGAACAGAAACCTCTTCCCCATCACTAGCTTCCCTGGAGACCTGATGCTCATGAACCAGGATTTTATATCACGGGGGATCCACCCGAGTGATGCCATTAATATCTACTGGCTGCCAGAAGAAGACACCTACAAAGCACACAAGCGCAAGGCCGTTCGCTGCCGGTATTGAAGCTCTAGTCCCGAGCGCAAGCAAGTGTCCTGCTCTTCATGTCTGCTACACACCTCTTCAGACGGCCCTTCCTCTCTGCTCTTCTTTTGAGCTCCTTGGCTTCTCCTGCTCTGTCTCCACCATGTCTCCAACATGAGACCCTGTTGCTGAGGCTAACTCGAGTCTAGCTCCCACCTCACCATAATCCTAAATTCTAAATTATATGCTTGCCCCCAATGGCCAGGCTGATTTCTTAATCCTGGGTATTCACTGTAAAACTAAAGTTGCCAGTCAAACACTGAGTCCTGACACTAGGAAGCAATCCAAATGTGACTGGAAACGGGCTCCGAAGTATCTCCTGGATCAACCTGAGTCTTGGGCATGGATAGGAACTTCAGCTTGGGGGTGGGGCATCTAAAGGAAATGAAGGAGTTTCCCTCCAATGACAAGGCTTTCATGTTTCCTGAATGTGTGTCTGTGTATCACAAGTGTGTCTGTTGCCCATGGAGGCCAAAAGAGAGTGTAGGGTTCTCTGGCATTAGAGTTAGAGATGGTTGTGAGCCACCATGTAGCTACTGGGAATCAAATTCAGGTCTTCCAGAAGAGCAGCCAGAGCTCTTAACTGCTGAGTAAACGTTATTCCAGCCCCTAACTTTCTCATACTGGATCTCGCTAAGTTGTCCACACTGAATTTGCCTTTCCAAGTAGCTCAGATTTTAAACTTTTGCCTCCAGACCCAGCTTAAAACCAGTCTTTGACCAGTGGAAAATAAAAGAAATTCAACACCTCCCCCCAAGTACATTCACATTTGCACAATTTACACGTACATACACATTCACATAATCACATGTACATACACATTCACACATACACACACATTCACATGAATACTCACATATTCACATGTACACACACATTCACATGTGTGCATACATTTACATGTATGCTCACATTCACATGCACACCCACATTCACATGTATGTTCACGTTCACCTGTATACACATATTCACATGGACACACACATTCACATGCACACACATTCACATGTGTACACATATTCACATGTATGCTCACATTCACATATGCATACATTCACATGTATACACATATTCACATGGACACACATATTCACATGCACACACATTCACATGTGTACACATATTCACATGTATGCTCACATTCACATGCATACATTCACATGTATACACATTCACATAGACACACATATTCACATACACACACACACACACACACACGTGTGCACATGCCCGGTGACAGACATTCTCCTCTTTGTGCTGTCTCCTGCACTCAGGAAGAAGTGAGACTTTTTCATTTGGAGGAGAGTGTCGGGGAGTAGAGAGGGTTCAGGAATTACACACTACCTGTCCTTGTCAGCAATACCCAAACGAAGGTGACAGACTCATCCTGAGCAGGGCTTGGCTACGGCGCAGCAGCAGGGAGAACTCTGTCTGGTGGCTTGGAGCTACGTGTGAGACACTGCTCAAGTCTGTCTCCTCACCTTGAGCGACACTAGCCAAGGTGAAGCTTCTGGGGTACCACCAGGTCCCCTAGGTGGTCCAGAAAAGGAGAGTAAAGTGACTAGACACAAGTTCCCATTTACCTTTCTCAGCAAGGTTCTGGAAAACAGTTGCTCCTTCTTTTCTATCCTGAGAGTCTCCAAGGTAGAATAACTAGTTGACCATGGTCCAACATGACTTCCTGCCTGAGGAGGTCTCCAGCCCCCTCTAATATATGGACCTCAACCCTGGAAGGTGAGGCAGTCTAGGATTCTCAAGACAGACTAGGAATTGAGACTAAAAGCAATTGCAATGGCAGAACTAGGGCCAGCCCCCACGCCCCTGACTGACTTACACAAGAACCCTTTGGGTGTCACTCTAGGTACAGAAACAAGTCCAGATGGAATAGAAGAGATCTAGGAGCTGATCCCTTGGGAGTGAGTTCATCCAAATGGACATAAATGTATCTCTATTACATATCACACTAAGATCCTCATGGTTCATTCCCAGGGCAGTGTCAACACATATGACATCTATAATACAATATATACATATATAATTCCCTTGTGGAATAGTCCAACATACATAGCGCTCTCTCAGTGGGTACACACCCAATAGAATCCAGAACATGTGTCCATACATAAGCTTGTTCATGAATATTCATAGCAATTTCTTTGCAGCAGCCTCAAAATGGAAATAACCAAAATGCCCCTCTGATGATGGATGGTAAATGTGGTAGCATCCATGTAATAAAAGATTAGGAACTGATCAAGATCTGATCATGAATATAGAAATATCATGCTAAGTGAATGAAGCCAGTCATGAAAGATCACACACGTTCTGCTTCTGCTTATGTGTAATGCCTACAAGAGCTAAATTCAGAGCCAGAAATGTGGTTACTGAAGTTTAGAGTAAAGGTAGGAGGCAAACAAGGAGTGAATTGTGATGTATTTGGTATTTCTTTTGGAAGTGATGAAGGCTGACTATGGCTGACTATGATGATACTGGACTGTTCTGCCAACAGACTAAAGATCCGTGGGTTGTAAGGGTTGAGTGAGTGGACTGCATGGTGTGTGAATGATATATCAATAAAACTAGCATATAAGATATTGGACACTAATGACATGGTTAAATTACTAAATCAGTGGGGGCCGAAGAAAAAGCATCATGTGTGATCAAAAACAACTGGATCCTTCCGTCTGTGGTTCTCTAGCAACTGACCTGAGCACTGCAGAAGATGATGGAGAGGAAGAAAGACCCAAGACCGAAATGCGTGGACTCCCTTCTCTCCCAGCGGTAGACTAGCCCCACAGCAGAGCACTGCCAGACCTTCTGTTTCCCACCATGTCCACCCTCTGCTTCCGTGGTGTTATTTCTTTAGGGAAGGCCTGTTTAACATGGTTGAAGTTCACGTCCTTGACCCTCAGGATATGTGACAATGGTGGACCCTGTCTTGGGATGGATGCTGTGTTATGCCATTCTGACCTCAGAACAGAGCAGGCTGGGCCCACAGCAAGACCACTGCTGCCTCCAAGCAAGACCAGAAAGAACTCACTGTTTAAAGCTTATCCCTGGGGGGAAATACTGAGGAATCTGCCTAGCCATCCAGATATGAGCTCCAGGCATCTCACCCAATAAGACCTAAACAACCAGGACACTGCAACATTGAATATTAATTGAATTTTAAAGTCATCTTAATCGAATATGCAGAAAATAACAGGTAGTTGGTTTTTGGTTTTTTGTTTGTTTGTTTGTTGTGCACTTCCTCAATTCCCAGTGGGGAATTGGCATCTTTTCCATGTCTCTACTGATGCAGATTTTTGTGAAACATCCTTCCCATTTCCTGGTTAATTTCCTCTCACATTGATTTGGCTTCTTGTGGAGTACAGAGGCCATCAGAGTCCTTTCCAACCGATTAGCTTCTTTACACTGAACCGTAAGGAGTCCCCAGTGTGGGAGGGTCACACTCCATCAGAACAGGGCAAATCTGCTGAGCCCTGAGGTATCTGGCCACTCAAGCAGTTCTCACTGAGGATGGGGTAGGGATCAAGGTTGGAACACTACCGCCTGCTCAGCATTCAACAGAGATCCTACTGTGATCCAGCCTCTGGGGCATTAACAATATAAATCTCAGTCTCTTCCTTATCCAGAGACCCTTCTCCATCTCCACCTCCCTCACTTTATGCTGAGCTGTGGAAAGAACTAAGGCTTCATGTATGTGGCCAGGGGTTCTGGAAGTCTTTCTCCTATGTCCCAGCCCAAGTATCCCACATCCACTCCACATGCCAGGCCAGATGCCCTGTTCTGTGGCACCATACCAGCATGGCCATACCAGGTTTTTTCTTTTAGGCCACCAACCAGCCCCCAAACCATGTCAGAAAGATTCATTCTGAGTTTTAAATGCTTGGCCTAGCTTAAGCTTGATTCTGACTAGCTCTTTTAACTTAAATCAACCTGCTTCTCTTTATCTACCTTTTGCCTCAGGGCTCTTTACTTTTCTTTTTCTGTATATTGTACTTTCACTGTTTCTTGTGTCTGGCTGGCTGGCAGCTGCCTGGCTTCTTGCCCTTGGCATGCCCTTCATTCTCTCCTTGTCTCACTCCTGTCTTTCTAGATTTCTCCTCCTACTCATTCTCTCTGCATGGCAGCACCTCCTATCCATCTCCAGCCTAGCTATTGGCCATTCATCTCTTTATGAGACCAATCAGGTGCCTTAGACAAAGTGAAACAAATACAGCACACCTTTACATAATTAAACAAATGCAGGCTAAACAAAAGTAACATATCTCTACACACTTAAAGTAGTATGCCATAGCATAAATGAATATAACACATCGTTGCCTACTTAAAATAATATTCCATAACACATGGCAGTGACAGCTTGAAGAGACAAAAAGGACTATGTGTTTGTAAAGACACTCAGAAATTGAAGTTTTGGTATCGCAATGTCCTCTTGGCAGAAACATCTGGATTAGCTTCAGTTTCTGAGGATTTTTGTGTCTGGCCATACTGTTTCTAAAACTGTCCTTAGCCAGCCTCACTCATCTCTCCTGTGGGTCTTTTCTCTACCTCCCTATAAAACTTGAGACATCTATCTGTCCAAACCTGCTGACAGCATCCTCCCCCATCTGGTCTCTGTGCTGACCCAAGGCTGCCCTCACTTCCCTCCCCAGTGACCTCACTTTCATTCCACGAAGATGAGTGAAGGACTGAAGGATGTCTTATAAGAAGCCTCCTCTGCATGATTCCCCTCTATCTTAACGGACAACTCCAGTTTGTCCAGCTATCCATTCCTATTCACTAGCCAGCGTGCCCAAGAGGAAGCTGAGTCCAAACCCTGCTTGGAAACTAGCCTGAGTGCAATGAAGACAAGGTGCAACTGATGGCCAAAAGTCCCACCAGCCACATCAGTGACTGGGATAGATATGAATGTGATAAACCCTGGAACAACAAATCAAAGAGAAGTGTGATACAGAGGGAGATTAGAAGAGCTGCCGATGGAGGTGTGGGGCTCTTAGAGCAGGCAGAGCAAGCCCAGGGCATGGAGGAACACCAGAGCATCCAACTGCCACCTTTGTATGTCATTTCACAAATTGATCCTGGCACTCCTTTACAGCCACTGGAGTAATGTGCCTGCCTCTTAGAGAGTCAGAAGAACACAGCATGTTTCCTGCTGGCACCCAGGTTGAGAAGACTTTTTCAGCTTGTTCACTCTGGGAGATGCTAAATAGCTTGGGCAAATGGTTATGAATTGCCTCCCAGGTCTCTCTGACAAGATAAGTAGATATATGGTAGGTAGGTATGTAGGTAGGTAGATAGATAGATAGATAGATAGATAGATAGATAGATAGATAGATAGTAGATAGATTTGTGATGTAGGAGAGGAGCTGGAGATTAGTACTTTTCTCCAAAGCAGTCACAGCTGCCAAAACTCTCATCCAAAAAAGTTACAAGAATAATCAGAGGGAAGCATGCATAATATGCCCATCCTGAAGGTTTATGTGAAATTATTCCTAATGTTTTATCTTTAAACTCTACCACTTCAGCTTTCAAAAATCCAACCAACCATGGAAAACTAATACATAGCTCAAATAAATGAACCATACATTAGCAGCTACACCAACAACTCCATACTCCATTGCAAAAACAGCCACAATGCTATTCTGAGTAATTATTGCTAATCTTTGATACGAACTTACAAGTACAAGCAATGTTGACCCAGAAGCCCAAAAGCCTTCGTTCTCAGGGAAAATATCCACATTCTTACATAGATTAATCAGTGCCCTGGTTGTACTTCTAATCCCCTTGTGAACTCTCCAGTAATTACAACATGAAGAGCACATGATGTAACACGCGTGTATAAACCCAAATGCATCCCTGGATGTTCCCTCCACTTCAAATAAGCCTGTTACTTATCATTTGGTAAACCCTCTTCCTGGCGAGGGGCACAGCTTTTAGCTTTTAAATCAGCTATTACCGTGAAAGCCTTTTCCGTCGCAGCTTCTAACAATCCAACTCACCACCTATTAAGGGTTGTTTCAGTTATTTTTGATATTCTGTGGAGAGTGTGAGGTACCCTTTCCTGCTTAGAGGGGAAATTTCCCCTCTTTGAACCTGAAATGCTTTCAAAGAGGAGAGATATTGCCTTTCAAGAGTTCTAAAGCTGTCCTCTCCTTAAGAGCCCTGATGGTATCCAGAGGCTCCTAATGCAGAGAAAAGCATTAGCCACTTACATTTCCACCTAATGAGTACCTCGCTCATAGCTAGCCAAAGGTAAATGTCACAAACTTAGAAATTATTCCTCTTTGCAAAAAAAAAAATCAATCTGATCTCCACACTGTGTCCTTCCTATCTCCACTGATCCTGCACAACATAGGTATGGGATATACATGTCTCTTATGACTGTTCTCCAAGTTAACACAAATCACACCTATATATCTGCTGAAGAATTCGTCATTTATGAGTAGTTGACAATTACAAGCAAGATGGCAGAATAGGACATTCCTAGCTCTTATTTCCTCCCACAGAAACAATCTGATAACTATTAAGAATTGAGTCTGAAGTGTTCCCCCCAGACTCATGTGCCTGGTGGTGATTTAGGACCAGGCTGGAGGGAGTGGGTCACTAGGGCATGTCCTTTGTCCTAGTTAGTTACTATGCTATTGCTGTGATGAAACACTATGACCAGAAGCAAGTTGGCTCACACTTCCACATCACTATTCATCAGCCAAGGAAGTCAGGACAGGAACTCAAGCAGGGCAGGCACCTGGGGGTAGGCGTTGATGCAGAGGCCATGGAGGGGTGCTGCTCACTGGCTTATTCCTTATAGCTTGCCCAGGAGTGGCACTGCCCACAATGGGTTGGATCCTTCCCAACCAATCAGTAATTACTAATTATGAAAATGCCCCCAAATGCTTGCCTACAGCCAGATCGGGGGTGGGGGGTTTTCTCAACTGAGGCTCTCTCCTCTCAGAAAACTAGCCACCACGCCCTTGAAGGTCATGGCTGGATCTATGCCTGGGCTGTTCTCAGCTTCCTGGTATGGGGACCGCCACTGCACACTGTGCTGCTTCTGCCACTTGGCCTTTCCATCGCAGTGAGCCAGATCCTCGGAGGCACTGAACAAAGCAAGCTCCCTGTCCCTTCAGCCTGTGTCATAGGGACAAGACTAGTAACCAAAATGTCTTAGGTTTGAGGTTCCAGGGACACTGAGGATGACTGTCCTTTGAGTAAGAGATTCATTGAATAATTATTAATATCATGGGCTTCCAAAGAGACAGACAATAAATAATTCAGGGGATCTTAAAAAAAAAAAAAAAGTGTTTTGTTTTGCTTCTCTTTTGCTGTGAAAAACACCATGACCAAAAGCAGCTTGGGGAGGAGAGGGTTTGTTTGGCTCACAGGCTAGAGTCTACCATCTAGGAGAACTGAGGCAGGATTCTAGAGGCAAGAACCAAAACAGAGGCAATAGAGGAACACTGCGGATTGGCTTGCTCCCCATGGCTTGCTTAGCCTGCTTTTTTATATAGCCCAGCACTACCCGCCCAGGGGTGGCCCCACCCTCCTACACCAATCATAAAGAAAGAAAATGCCCCAATGCCGACTCTCAATTAAGGTTTCCTCTTCTCAGATGACCCTGGCTTGTGTCCAGTTGACAAAAAACAAACCAGCACAGAGGATTCTGGCTCCTGGCAGAGAGTGGCAGTTCCTTCTTATAGGTGTCAGAGGAAGGAAGAGGTTTCCATACTGGTGGTTGAGGAGGCCACCGCCGGGACCACAGTCTGGCTGTCCTTGATTCCTGGTGGCAAGGAGAGAGGCAAGAATTCTTGGAAGGACTGTGTGACTCTGAGGATATGGACGAGGGGACACTTTATACCAATGGTGGGTGTGCTGGAACTGGTTGTCCCCTAATGCCCCGGAGTCTGTCAATTTGAGATCTGTAAACTTTCTTGGGGAAGCAAGAGTGGCCTGGACCTTTCTCCTGGAGTCTATATCTGGGGAGCCTGGGATTGCTCCATCTAGGAGCTAGACATTCACAGACAAGCTGGGCTAAAGGTAGAAAGACCTTCCTCAGGTGAACATGGCTGCTGCCTCTACACCCACACTTGAGAAGGTAAAGACAGAGCCAGCTTGGGTGCTAGTCTAGCAGTGTGAGCTCCAGGTTCAGTGTGAGACCCTACCTGCCTCAATAAAGTGAGGAGCTAACAAGGAAGACACCCAGTGTCAGCTCTCTCTCTCTCTCTCTCTCTCTCGCACGCACGCACGCACGCACGCACACACACACACACACACACACGGTGGGGGGGTGGGGGGGTGCATACCCATATGCACACCATTCCTACAGGAAGGAAGGCAAGAGAGAGGGAGGCCCAATAAGAAAATGGCACTAATGTTGAGCTGTAGCACCCTCTAGCCTCCACAACTGGGATGGCAAAAGGGTGATGGAGAGTTATCTGCTTAGAAGGGACTGCAAGGCAAGCTCTGACCCAGAAAGGTGCAAGACACAGCTCAAAACAGATTTGATGTGTCCTGTTCTTTTACCCACTATGTGCCTGCCATTCCCTTTGAGGGTGTCACCTAACATAGAGGAACTGGGCTCTATGCAAGTCCACATCTGTTCAGATCCAGCCAACAGGCTGGAGTCTACATTTCACTGTAGCCAGTGTTTTCCAGGTTTGCCCATAGAGAGTGACCCATGAGGACTTTCCCTCGATGTCTCCAGCCTTGGACATGATTATAATGATGAAGGCCAGGAGAATGAAAACTGGCAAGATACACCCTGGTCTCCTAGCTCCTCTGCATGCTGGAAGGGCTCATGGATTGCTCCCCACCCCACCCCCACCCTCCTACCCCCCACTGCTGCTTTCACAATAGATAATGTTCTCAGTCATCTCTGGTCAGAGCTAGCAGCTATGGCTGAGTCTCTGCTGGACTTCTCTGGCCTTTTGTTCTGGCAGTGGGGGTGGGGGGATCTCACCTAACTCTAGCAACATGTTCATGGTTAGGACCATCCTAACCAGCCTCCTGCTGGGGTCTGAGCTCATTGGCATTGCCAGCACACTACCTAGGGGCTTGGGTCCCTCCATCTACTTCATTACTTCACTGCCTCCTTGAAACCCGCTGCATCCCTTTATCTTCATAGATCACCTGTCACACTTCTCCCCAGAGACTTCATGTAAACAGGACTCCTGCCCTAGGCAACTGTACCCTCCTCCAAGCCCTTCCAGGCCCTAGCTCTGAACATTGTGTCACAAATGGAAATATGAAGAGTCTTGGAGGAATAACAATGATCATAGTCTTGAAGGTTTTGAAAGCCACTAAGCAGAGCCCCTTAGCCTTTTATCGTTTCTGTTGCCATGTCTCCATAGCTGCCTCACTTGATGGAAGCCAGTATGTGGAAAAGCCTCTGAAGACAGTGACCAAGCAGACACTTGCCTTGAGAACACGTCTTTATTTAGTTTGCCTCATTGTGAGGACAGATGGAGACTGACACTACAGGTCGAGAAAGTAACTACAAAAGGTGGAAAGGGGGCTAGCTAGAGAAATCACTGGTGCTCCAGTGTTTGGGTCACAGTTGTGTGGGGTCGTAGACACTGGTCTCGTTTTCCTATGACAGTCTTCCCAGCCTTCAGCCTGCAGACGCTGGGGGAACTTGGCCCCACCTTTCCTCTGCCATCTCATCATACTCTGCCATGCGTCTGTGCTAAGGTAAACCTAGCCATGGTGTATCCCGGTGCTGGGCATCACATGCTCATGTCTTCCATCCTTTCTGGGAACGTGTGGGTGCAGAGCCAGAGTCTGGGTGTGCTTTGCTTCACATCTTAGTGCTTGGGGGTTGGCCACGGGCAACACGTGTCCTTCTTCCCAGTGTGAAGGCTGCCACAGCTAGGACCATGGCCAGGAAGATCCCACCAAAGATGGCGGCAGTGGGATAGACGGCCTGGGTACTAGCTGGCTTCTCCTCGTCCTTCACTGCCAAGTCTGAGGAAGAAAACAGAGTGAGATGATGGAGTAGGATGGGACACAGGCCAGAAACTGGCAGAAGAGACAAGGAACCAGGTAGTCCCTGTCAGAACTCTTCAGTGGGGAGGGATAAGGAAATGGAAGAGGGGGAAATGGAGGCTAGCCTCCAGGAGGCAGCTGAGTGTTGGGCTAGAGAGATTTACTCCCTATTGTCTTGCTAGCCTGAGGAGTTAGGGGAGGGTCTTCACAGGAGCTCAGACCTGGGCTTTGGGAGAACAGTTCTGGATTAGGTCTGTAGATGTGTGGGAAGGGAGAGGGCGTTTAAGCCAGTTGGGAAATGGTGACAAGAGTCCCAGGCAAAAGGAATCCAGGACCTGAGCTACTGTGGTGACTGCAGACATAAAGGGAAAATGGATATTGGACACCACCTGCCTCTTCTATTTGCCCACTATCCCTTTCTACATAGCCCCAACTCCAACAGAGGCACCAGCTGAGCACAAGGTTTACTCTGCCCATACCGGTTTATTTGCCTCCTGCTACACAATAGGCCTTTGGGAAATATGAATGAATGAATGAATGAATGAATGAATGAATGAATGAAGAGTAGAGAATCATCTTGCTGTGGGGACAAACCTACTGTGAAACATGAGAGCAGGAAGCTATCACAGATGGTTCCCAGAGGGTCATGGTGATACCCTGATCTAGAGGTAAGTTTGTGACAATATAGCAAACCCATTTCTGCCCCTATCACTATGGCCATTATATCTCCCTACCTGGAGTAAAAATGTCCCATTTAGTGCCAGACTCCCAGAATTCAAAACCAATTCGTGCTGCCTGCGTTTCCATGCCCCACCCACCTGGTGAATTCAAAACACCTGTGACCACCATGATGAGGGGCAATATTCCAATTCATTACGTTAACAACAAAAACTAGTACATTCATCAAACACCCAGTGATTTGCACTGGACAAGAACCAATGCTGTTTAAGGAATATTGCTTTAGCAAGCCCTCTCGACAGTCTTAAGAGATGAGACATTAGCCCTCTCACCCTGCAGATGAGGATTCTGGGAGCTCCAAACCCAGAGAATCAAACCTCCCAGGTCACAACTCTCTTGCCCATCACCTACAGGTGACAAGGAAGCAACCAGGCCTGATTCATTAATTGGTGTGCAGGTTGAGTTGGTCCATAGCCCAGACAAAAGTATTCCAAATCAGCCAGAATCATGGACCCCAGCAGAAGGTAGGATCTGAGGGTAACCACCTACCCAGGCTCCTCTTATCTTTGCCAGGGGATTGCAACTGGACAGGTCCCAGGACAACGTCCACCTTTTCTTGGTAGGAGCCTACATCCCTCTTGGACCTCACCACACAGCCTCTGTTGCACCGGGAAGAAGCATCATATGCTCTGCACACCACCAGTTTACACTGCAGATACACTGAGGGGAAGCGGTTCAGGAAGTGGAAGGAACTGAATTTAAAGCGAGCGATGCGTGGTGAAGGCGAGGAGTAGGGTTGGTAAGTTTCATCTCTTACACATCTGGAAGTAAAGAGAGGAACTGGTTAGCCTGCTGAGGCATGGTCTCTCTGTATTTCCCTTGTAGCCTGCAGTCATCCTGACCACCTGGGCCTCCAGTGCCACCACACACTCCATGTGAGGTGTGTACATATGTCCCAGCAGCCCCAGTACCTCGCTAGTGTGTAGACACAGCAAATTACCTAGCATGACAAGCTCCATGTGTTTGAGGGAGCCAGTGGAACTCAGGTTGGGAATCCAAGAGCAAGTCAGAGGCAAGACAGAAAAGGAAACAGCCTGTTCTTCCCTTTCTTGGTCACTATGCTTCGAATGGTGACCCTGACCCTTGTCTCCTAGGGCCTCTCTGCTGAGCCCCCTCCAAGGCCTGGCCTGCCCCTGAGCAACTATCCAGCCTTGCTGTCAGTACTCCAGTATGGAGCACTTCCTCTTTCCTTCCTCTGTCTCTGCTGGTGATAGAAGGAAACTATCAGCCAAATTACTTAAGGAATTCCACTGAGAAGAAGATGAGGCTGTCTGCAGGGGACAATCCATGTGCATTTAGAATACTGAGGCTAAGTGATGAGTGAGAAAAACTGGCCTGGCCTTTAGAATAGAATGTCTCCTAGGTGAACTGTCCCAGAGCATCCTGGCTGTCCCTGTCCCAGGAGATTGTTCCATGTCAGCTTACCCTCTTCCTCCTTCCTTCCTGTTTCTACCTTCAACTCAACTGCCCTGAAGTACCCAGAATTCTTTTCCTTACTTCAGCCTTATTAGCATTCCAAGTGAAAAAATACCTAGAGATTTGTTGAGAGGTGGGACATTTGAAAGAACTAGGCAGAGGGGATGCTGTCTGTACAGGCCAGAATTTCACTGCCCACTAGGCAGGTTATTCTTAGGGACCTCTACCAGGGATGGTTCTATTGAGGACCAGGGTGTAGCTAATGAGTCCCTATGTACCAGGCCCAGGTGACATTACAAATGGCATTGCCACAAATATGGCATAATGCCACCATAGTCAAGAGCCCTTTAGCAGGGAATAAACTACTCACTCTGTGATTTGCATTCATTTTAGTCATTCCACTCCACTCAGATACTTCTTGGTTACTACTGAGAGCAGCAGGTGTCTAGGTGAGTTTTCTCCTGACTTTGCTGTGTTTCCAATGGGACAGTTTTAACATGAACCTTCTATACAGATTGGATGAAAAGATGTCCAATCTCTGTGTACTGAGTTCATATTCAAACAGTTCCTAGGAAGCGAGGCTATCTTTGGCATCTCAAGTTGGTGTGAGATTTAAGCCCACTGCCCTAAATACTATCAGCTCTGCTTGTCCTGATAAGTATAACTTCCCATGGGAGACAATGGCTATTCAAGTGACAAGCACCATACTAGAAGCCAAGAAGTATCATGCCAAAGACACAGAGATTACAGTGGGGACTGGACTTGCACACCCAACATGTCAGGCCTCCTCCAAGAATGTAGAAGCATCACAGTTCCTCCTCCAGGGAAGCTGGAGCAGAGGAGATTGGGACAGCTAACCTGGTCTCCGTTGAATCAACCTCAACATGTCCTGAGCCATGATGGAAAACTTGCATTCCTGGCCGATGGAGGATTGAAGGCCATCTGCACCGATGATGCAGTAACCCTCTAGGTCCCGTGACATGTTCATGTTTTTAACCCTAAGGCTAGAGTTTGGTGACTGCAGATCTAACCTGTTTATAGCCTTCCAGTTGAACATTCCTCTCTACCCACATGTCACCTGGACATGGTGCCTAATAATCTGTCCCCTTTATCAGGAATGTGGCATGAGGGCTCCTCAAAAGGCAAAAGCCACATGTGGAAAGCTATCTGAGCTTGAACCCTGAAAATCTGCATTCCCTAAGCTTGTTTTGGCTACTCATGCTTGAGTTGTAAGGCAAAAGTTTGCATCTGTCCCATACACAAGTCCTTACCCACTCCGGATGAGATCATATGTCAAAGACGAGAAGTCATTGGGGTAGGGGGAGGCCACACAGGTATCCACAAACAAGGCCAAAGAAGCATCAGAATGGAGGATTTCAGCCTGAAGGTACAAGTTCTGGTCCAGATCCACATAGTATGGGCTGCTGGTCACTGGATACAAGAAGGAGGAGGATGAATAAAAGGAGATGTTCACATCGAAATTGCCGTACTGGACTTCTTGGATCTCGACAGTGTTGTTGGTGATGTACACGGTATTGACCCAGGTGTTCTGAAGCATCTTGCAGCTGACATGGATGTGGAGGTCCTTTTTCCTTTTGATGATGCCATTCGAAACAGCTGCTTTGAGGAAGTTGGAGTAGTTGATGGTCTCATTGTCAGTCTAACAGAGAAAAGCAGATCAAGTCAGGTCAGCACTGGTTAGGGTTAGAGTGAGAAGGAAAGGACTCAGAGAGACTATCGCAGAATCACACAGAGGTGGCACCTGTCTGCTTTCTGGCTACTGTTACCTAGGATGGATGTCAGCTTAAGCAGCCAAATGTCCCCCAACTCTCCCACATTCCCTGACACATGGTGATGTAGACCATGATAATCTGTAGTTGTTGTTCTTACTTGCGGCAAAATGAAGGTATCTGGATGGCCACTGACCTGCAGTGTGCCTGACCAAGCTCAGACTCCATGGTTCAGGACTCTGATCCGGGTGTTCTGAGCCTATTCTCTCCATCACTGGGGGGGTCTTGGGGCAGTTGGTCTCATACTCATGACAGGGGCCTGGTAATATCAGTGTGGAATGATTTCTATTTTGAGTGACTTCTTCCATGTGCTGATTTACACAGTGGAAGTTGGAAGACATAAGATCCATAGTTATAACTGAAGCAGTCTTGACCCCTGAGGTTAAGACTTCCCCAGAGCCTCACATGAGCAATTGAATGGGGCTATGGCAATCTTGAGGTCATTCCCACCTCAACACATTGCACTATGGAACTATTCACTATAGGGACTTTCACTGAGCATCAAACTCATAAGGAGGCTGTTGTCTTGTAGCATATAATGTACCTATCATCTTTGAGAGCTGCCATGCCAAAAGCCTTACACCTGTGGCCTGTGAGCATCTGTGAGATACGGGTGATATCTAAGCATGTCTCTTTCTGTTTTCTTGGCATAGCAACAGCATCAGAAGCATCAGTAAGGATCTGTGAAGCAAGTGAAAAGAACGAAGCCCAGTGGCCCAGACATCCTTTGATAAACAGAGGTTGTGGCAAGGAGGCAATGGCCCACTGGCCAAGAGAACACACATGAACAGTGATTCCTGGAAGGACCATGTTGGTGATTGCCTGGCTCCAAGTAAGGAGAGCACAAGTGCACCATCACCAGTCCCATGTCATGAGGCCTGTGCACCATATGGGCAGGAGAATAATACCAGTGTGACACGGACAGCGTCTGGAATTCAAAGTAACTGTACTCTTCATAGTGGAAAAAAATGCAAGGCATGGCAGAGCAGAACAGAGCAGAGACAGACAGCAAGCTTTCTGCTGTAGTCATGTGAACTGTGAAAGGTGAAACTTTATCCTAACTGATTGGGACCTGGAAAACCCCACTGTGTTCCCAGCACTCATATGACTTAAATATACACTTTTCAGAATAAAGAGCCTTCTCTTTCTTAACTATTGGTTGAGGACACTACTCTGCATGTATGTCTTCCAGAAAAACTTAACATGAGACAAGAGCTTTTGGATAACCTCTTTGACCCTCCTCTTATCTTTCCTAGTCTGGCCTCTCCTCAGACTGACCAGAGCCTAGAGCAGGGCCAGACTGGGTGATGGAGGGTATCACAGCCTGCACTCCAGACCCAGTCTAGAGAAGAACCTGCAGAAAAGACTCCATGCTCTTCATGATCTCAGGGGAAGCGCATTGTATTTCTCCCATAGATTCTCTAAAAATTTTAACATTTGTATTCCAGTATCAATGGTATTAAAAACCACATGGGTCTTTCACTCTACATATAACATGAGTGTATTAACAGAGTCCATTTTTATCTTTGCGGTAGAGCTCATTTCAGAATCTGCCCTAAACAATAAACATGGAGTACTGATGGGAGATGTCATTCTGTAAAAATGTTTCTCATACTGGTTAATGAATAGAGCACTGTTGGCCAATAGGAAATCAAGATAGGAGGGACTAGGAGACAAGGAGGAAAGAGGAAGTAGGGGGGGAGCCAAGATGGAGAGTGGGAGAAAGCAGTATGCCGGCCGGCTCCCTGGTAAGAGAAATACATAGATCAGCAGAAATGGGTTAATACTTAAGACAGAGCTAGCCGATAAGAAACTAGCACCTGGCCAATAGCATTCTATCATATACAGAGCCTCTGTGTGTTATTTGGGGCTGGCGCGGCGGCGGGACAAGACTAGGTGGCGGGAGGAAAAACCGTACTCCTTACAGAGTACAAACTTATTTCTTGATCTGAAGGAGCCATTCTAACTCTATATTAAAAATCCTGCTTAAGAATCTACCCAGGGACTGACTCAGCCCCCCCCCCACCGAATATGGGTCTTAGCCAGAAGGACTGAGCAGTCTAAGGGACCTCAGACAGTGGAGGCAGGATGTATCCCTGGTGCACAAAAGAACCTTGTGAACACATCCCCCATGGAAGGATAACTGCCTTAGCCTAGAGACAGGAGAGAAGTCCTAGTCCCTACTTCAAATGACCTGTCAGATCTACATGACCCCACCTGGGTAGCATTGCCCTGCATGTGGAATTGGGGTGAGGGGATGGGAGGGGAGGGTGGTCAGGGTGCTTGTGAGGGGGCAGAAGGGGTAAAATGGAGGAAGGGAGAGGGAACTGGGATCGACATGTAAAATAATAAATTAAATTAAAAAAAAAAAAAAGAATCTAGCCAGGAGGAGAGACAGCCAATATGACAGAAAGTCCTGTACATGCATCAACTGACATTCCCAGAGAGACCAGGGCTCTCATTGCCCTGGAATGCCTTTTTCTGTGAGAAAGTTCATCTATTCCATGACACCAGCCAACAAATCACCCTCCTACTGTGTGGCCACTGGCTGAGCCATGAGCAGTTCCTGTTACAGAGCACACTGACACCACAATTCATGAACATGTGGCCTCAGGCACATTGCTCGGTTTCTCTAAGCCTTTTCTCCTATGAGTAAGTGGGATAAAGACATGCTGAGACTTTTAAAAGTCATGTAGAAGTCTTAATTAAATTCCTGGCATACAATATAGTTGACACTACTTTGGTCTTGTGCCAGAGCACCAAGGATGGCAAACACTAATAAAACCGGCCCTGACTCTGAAGCACAAATTTGGTGGATGATGTGTCCACTTCATAAGTGGAGAAACAGGAATGTCACGTGTGCTACCCAGGTTCACTCAAGTTAAAAGAGGCAGGGCCAGCACACTGTTTAGATGCCCTTAACTATGTATAAAGTGTCACCAACAAGTTGCTGAGATGAATAATTCTGCAGGCTGTACATTCGGAAAAAGGAGCAGTGGTTACCTTTGGTGGGCTGACTCTTAAGCAGAAAGTTTACAGAGCAATACAAAAACTGAGTTAAAGAAGCCACCTCCATGGCCTGGCTAATATGCATTCCTCCCCATGAGTGAGCTCCTCTCACTCACCAAATTCTCCTCGGAGGGAACTCCGGTGTGTACAGTCTTACCAAGAGATCTGTGTGACCAGGTCCTCACACCCAGCCATAAGTGGCCAAGGCACACCTGTTAGCCTAACTGTTTTCTTCTTCTCTGTGTTTGCTGTGTGTCAGAGGAGTGGGAAGGAGTTTCTCCTTAGCACTTCACACAGGGCCTGACATGTGGCAAATGCTTATCATGTGTCTGGTGTTGAACATGACCCTGAAAAGTTTATAGGCATCTGAACATGTATGTCTGTGTATACCTGGGTAATAAGACTCACTTTTCTATTGTCTAAGCATCTCCATCCTGCCTTTAAAGTCATATCCTCCAACCTAGAAACAGGTCATCCATGATGACCTTTTCCCCATTGCACAGGCATTCTCTTACTAAATTCAGTATGAATGGACATTTCTATCTAACAGTAATATGCATATATTTTTGCATAACTCTTCTGTGTCTGACTTTTTCTCAGCAGAGTGTTTCTGAGATTCTTGGATTCTGTTGCTAGTCCTATTCCACCTGGAACTATGAGGCCTTGGGCAATGGGCTTGACCTCTCTTAATTCAATCTTCCCACTTCTGAAATGAGGTGATAACTCAAGAATACTTGTTAAGAATTTCAGAGGCATGGTAGTACAAGTCTTCTTTAATCCCAGCACTTAAGAGCCAGAGAGGTAGGCAGATATCTCTGGGGTCAAAGCCAGTCCAGTCTACATAGCTGGCAAGAACTACATGGTGAAACCTTGTCTCAAAAAGTAGTAAAATTAAAAAGATTTTGGAAGTATGACACAGACTTATCACAGCATCTTCCGCTGAAAGGATGACAATGGTCCCAACTTGTCCAAAACTAGTGTTTCCCTGAGTTTTAAATCTGCCAAGTCTCAGGCAAATCCAGACAGGTGACCACTCTATTAGTCACACCTAACACGTGATAGTCCACAGCCACACTACTCAAAACACTGAGGAAGGTCCATGCTTTTGTAAATCAACATGAAGTTTGTAGATGATGTCATGGTACAATGTCAAAAGGCTGGCCACCTTTGCTGTTGGTCACTCAAGAAATGGCAACTGTGGCAACCAAGTGTGTGACACTCGGTAGTTCCCTGGCCTCCTTGGAGTCATTGAAATGTGTTTGACAGCCATTTGCTGCTGTAGAACCCAGGAAAGTAAGGTGTGTTTGTATCTTTGCTTTAAGGGGCTTCTGCTTCCTTCTCCCACCCCAAATGAAACTGCAGAAGCCCCAGATTCTGCAAAATGCAGAGCTTCTCCTGGGAGCTGTAAGTGTGAGTGGAGTCTTGCTGCATGTCCTCTCTGATTGGACATGGCTGTGGAAACTGCCAGGCTTCCTTGTTCCCACCTCTTTATCCCTCCTATTTGGAAGAGCTCTGGTTACTATACTAAAAGCTCCCATTTCCCTTCTTATGAATTATACTCTGATTATATCACAGCCATAACTTCTGGATCTCTAGGGTTCTAGAGGCATCACATATGCCACTGTGATAAAGCACACGCAGGGCTGCTGAGATGGCTCAATGGGTAAAGGAACTTGTTGTCAAGCCTAAGAGGCTGAGTTCTATTCCCAGGACTCACATGGTAAAAAGAAATAAGCAACTCCCACAAGTTGTCTTTCGACCTCCACATGCATGCAGTAGCATGCTAACACACACATACACACACACTCACACTCACACACTCACATACACTCACACATACACCACATACACTCATATACACTCACTCATATGCACACATAAATAAAGTAAATTTTTTTGAGGGGGGGAGAGCATGCTCAATAGAGTGGGTGGTGCCAGGCTTACCTGTTTGGTAGTGCCACAGCCTGTGTAGGGAATTGTGAATGTGACCTGACTCTGTGTTATCTGTGGCCGGCACTGGTAGTTTGTATTCCAACCAGGAATGACAAGATCACTGGGAGAATAACCCATGGACTGAAGGTAGCTCCTGCTCACGCTGGCTCGCATGTGATTTGACAAACAAAGGAGACCTAAAGTATGAGAGCAGAAGGTACACTAAATCAGGATTCCAAAACCCACAACCCTTATAAGGGTCTTTTCCCATGTAAAGATATACAGATCACGATGGCTGATGTTCATGCCCCATACATGAGATGTATGCTCCCAACAGAGTCACTATGGCCCCACGGGTACTCTATGGCTACAGTTAGGATCATCCTTTAAAAAGCCTAATGAGGGATCTTAGACTTTTAGCATTTTCTGGTATGGAACCAGAGACAGGATTTTAAATATCTGAAACATTTTGTCAAATTAACATTATGCTGTGAAGTAAAACAATTATAAATAAGATAATAGTGATGTTATTAGGTAAGGTTCTTTAGCTAAGGACAAAGTTAATGCCTCTGTTCCTGGCTGAATAAGAGACCTTGGACATCACCTTGCTCAACCCTTAACCAATATAGATAGGGGTTCATATAGCATCTCAATTTGGGGCCATATAGCCTCTGTTAGAGTAGCTGCCCATGTTAAGGTATCCAGCTCTATCCATCTTCAGACAGAAGTCAAATGTGTTAGGTCTCAGGACATGGCCAGTGACTCACACTCTAGGATCAGAGTTTCAAACCTGGTGTTACTCACAACTCCTCCTGGCATTGTCTTCTCACTAGCTGCTGAAAACATCATCTTATACCTTCTTATTCTTTGTCACCACACTAAGGCCAGAACAACTCTTGTCAGCCAGTGCTGGCCCTTGACCCTATTTGGGATGTCCAGAGTCTCAGGACTCACTGCACACAGCCTCTCTCAATTGGCAATACAGGAAATCAATTGTAGGGGCCTAAGTTGGGGTGTTCTAATTTTTTATGTTACAATTCCAGGACAGTAGAGGAACAGAAGGCTCCCAGCAGTGTCCCCAGTCCTACCAAGCCTTTGTTCTGACAAGGTAACTTACTGGTGATGTTATTGGCAAGGATCGTGTAGTACTCAGCCCGGAACCCCCTTCGAGTAATGATATGATCACTGATGAAGCGAACTGACATGAAGTTGGATGTTGAAGTGAAAGAGCCCATGGCCCCATCACAAACGCGAGCAATGAGAGGAGAACTGTGGTGGGGGCCATCATAAACCTCGATATAGTCATAGGTGCAGCCCCCTTCAAGCCTGAAGAGACAAAGCAAGCAATTAAGTTCTCTACTGTCCGGACTTGGATGAGGGCTTGCGTCTCATGGAAACTCTGACCCAAGGTCATTATTTGAAAGAACAGGTGATTGCTTTAAATCCAAGGGGGATTCATCTTGCTAAGGCCACCATGCCATGTCTTCGTACTGCCATCTAAGGTCACATCTATGAGGTCTACAGTCTTTCTCCCTGACAGTTCTTTAAATCAACAAAGGAAGGTCACCAGAGAACATCTTGATTTGTTCTGTCCAGAATAAAACAAATAATCAATTAATTCATAGTGATAGTGATGAATACTGAAAGAAATAAGCACCGAACCTCTCTAATGTCCAGGTTTCTCATCTACTAAGATGAACACTGTGCGCTATGTATACTGAAAAGGGTGGTGGTAATGTCCACATGGAGCTTTGCGTGGGAAAAAAAAATAGTTCATGACAGGTCACAAGCAATGGACACTGTCATTGGGGTGCTAGAGAATACAGGTAGAGTGTCTTGGCTAGCTAGGCCACTCACCTCCCAGAATGCTTTTGTAGAAATCTCCTCTGCTAAAGGACATTTTTCATTTGTAAGCATATGAGTGATAGAAACTCTACCATGTACATCAGCAATGCTAGCATCCTGGCTCCTGAGGACCCACAGTCAGGAAGGGGAGAATAAGGAAAGGGCTGCACTCAACAGGTGCATTTGTATATTGTACTCCCAAGCCACAAACTCACACACACACACACACACACACACACACACACACACACACACACACACACACACACAGTGCAAACATTTCCAAGTATTTCTCATTCTCTGGTGACCTCCTGATAAACAAGATGAGAAAAGCAGGTGTTCTAGCCTCTTCTTCTGACCCAGACTTAGGAGAGTGGCACTCATGGACATGTAGTAAATTCAGGACAACCCTAGGACTTTAAGTCACAATGGTCTCAAATTCCTGTCCTCTTGTCCCCATTCCACCACCCGCTATGAGTTACTCTCCAAATCAAAACTAGAACCTTTATTTTAAATGTCAGCTTTACTATCATCCCTGAATTTCCAAGCACCCCAAATTCTCTAACATCTGCTGTGTGCCCACACTTACTGCACATCTCTGAAGACCAAGGTCACACGGTAGTTGTTTGGGGCCTCAATGTTCCACACACATCTGGCATTGTTAGGATAATTCCTGGGGTAGAATGGACTGGAAAAGTTCCCAAAGGGTTGGGTCAGGAAACCTCCACAGGTATAGTTTACTGTCAGGAAAGAGTGGAAATGTTGATGAACCCCTGAACATACCACACAGCTGCCTGGCAGGAGAAGGGTATTTGACACAATTTCCAAGTGAGGAACCCAATAAAAGTCAGAATAGCCCTGGCTCAGTCACAGAAGCCTAGAGGACTGTTAGTGTGAGAGAGTGTGTGGTGTGGTGTGGTGTGTGTGTGTGTGTCTGTCTGTCTGTCTGTCTGTCTGTTTGTGTGTATGTGTGTCTATCTGTGTATTTCCCTGTATGGGTGTATCTCTCCCTGTCTCTGTCTCTCTGTCTGTCTCTGTGTGTGTGTGTGTGTGTTACTGTGTGTGTTTAATATCAGGTAGTTGCGCATGTATACATAATTCAGATGTGTGTTTTAAGACAAGGTCTCTCATTGAACCTGGAATTTACTGGTTAAATTCATAAACCTTGCTTTCACTGACTGACAGAAAATGGTGGGGAATAGACCACTTTGACCTGTGTGTGGTACGTGATCTCTGGATGCAAAGAAATTCTTAGTCCCCATCACAGGGTTTTTTTCCAATGATGTGTGAATTTGATGGTAAGGATTGGGTCTCTCTGATGAATGGAGACATCTAGAGCAAGGAACATGCCTCTACAGATATTTTTACCTATCCTGATTCATGAAGACCAGGGCTGCACCCTTCTTGCAAAGATATCATTAATGCTTAGATACAAGATGTCCACCAGAAAGAACATTTTGAACTGGAGGGTGTTCAGTGACATAGTGTCTTCCTCACTCTCTAGACTGTAGCTCCCTCTGTCCCCACTGAACTCAACCGTGAGAGAGAAAACACTGAAGCCAGTGATTTTCTCCCTGATTCTTCTACCCAGGGAGGAGTTAAAAGGGATAGTCAGCCATAATTCACACCTCTAACACCTGTCTCAGAGCTTATCTCAGGTGTCTATGAGTTTGCTGGTATGAGCTTCAATCTCTCTGCAGAAAAGAGAAAATTTGGAGGAAGTACTGTGGACTCTACACCCATCTCAATTTTTCTGACTCACAGAGTACAGGACCCTGGTCTTCTTACAATGCTATTGTGTTCTGAATAGAACAGGGAGTGTCCACCAATGGGCACAGAATAAAGACCGATGATCCCTCTCATACGCCCAACTCTAAAATTGGATCCTGAGGACTCTTACAAAATCTGTACATTGATTATGCGCTGGGTTAAATAGGAGATGGATTTTGGGGACAGAGTGAATCACTTGGAATGTACACAGGAAAGATGTGCCCCCTTCCTAATTCCTTTGTTTCTCCTTGCCTTCCTGAGCTGTCCTCCACCACAGTCATCAAAAACATCCCATAATTTCCATTTCTCTCTAACCTTTTAGTTGAAATGCTTAAAGGATGCTTTGATCTCACCCCAAGCTTACCATAGTAAGGAGTTGTTGTCCACCAATCTGGAGAGAAAACAAAGCTGGATTAGAAAGAAGGCCTGTGTGCAAAGTTTGGTCAAGTGGAAAACTGGACACAGAAACACTGTGGCTGAGGAAAAGAAAGCCTTTCCCTTGAGAGCACATACTGGCCCTGACCATGCTCACTGATGTCCATCACACTGAGAAGGAGCCGTCTCAGGGTCCCAGGGCAACTATGCATTATTCTTAAATGATATTTGCTAGGGAAAAATATCAGACCATCTACACCATAAGCATGTGAGACAAACAATCTCTATTGTCACCATGTCACATGACTCTTGGAAGACAGAATGCTTTTTAGACAACAGTCACAGAAAATGACCTCCATAGCAAATGATTCACCAGGGAAGTGAAGTTTAACAAAACGGATGGAGTGGGGCAAATTCTATGTCACAGAGACAGGCTCAATAGACAACACTGTCTTTGTTCTCATTTCTTTTCTTTCTCCTTGTCTTCCTGAGCTGTGCTCAACAGAATTCAAGGAGATCCCAGAATTCCTGTCTCTCTCCAAATTATTGGTTGAGTGCTTAAAGCTTTCACCCCAAGCTTACAATAAATAACAGTTGTTGTTGTCCACAAATCTTGAAAGGAAAACAAAACTGGATTAGAAGGAGGACCTGTGCACAAAGCTTGGTCAAGTGGAAAACATTGGACAGAGAAGCACTGTGGCTGAGAACAAGAAACTCTTTCCCTTGAGAGCAAGGGGTGACACTGGACACGCTCTCCTGTGTCCGTGCTACTGAGGGTGAGGGGGGCAAGAAACCACTGCAATGATAGCATTGACATGAATAACAATACATGGTAATAATGCCATCTACACCTCATTGGTATGAGAAAAACAGTCTCTTGTGTCTCTTGTGTCCCATGTCACTTGACCCTTGCAAAAGAGAGTACACACTAGGAAAATGGCTTAGGAAAATGTTTCTCCAGGATAGTGAGCTTAGCAAAATGGATTAAGCATTGCTACTTTGTTATGCCGCTGAGACAAGCAGAGAGATCCTTTTGTCTCAACAGAAATCACCACTCTACTTTATAGAGAAGGCTGAAGGAAGGTGAGGATTCTGAAGGGTTCCACCCATTCTGGAGCAGATTCTGAGGCTGTGAGCAGAACTGGGAAGGGGAACACAAACACTGAGGCAGATGTGGACTCACCTGGAGTGGTTGGGAATGGCGGTGGAAGAGCTGTGAAAAAAGGAAGCCATGTCAGTCTCTTGAACAGAAGGTGCCTAGCCTGGCCCTGGGTTCATGACACTGAGCAGACCAGACACTGGGTGTCATCATCTGCTGCCCCAGAGTAGAGATTGTTAGTCATCTATATGGCCAGGAAGATGCTAGCCATGGGGTCATAAGAGCCCACACTCTGAACCCACCTCAAGGTGAGAACGAACTCTGGATGTGTTGACATGATGAGTCCTGTGATTTGTGTCTGTCCAGTGAGTTGGGGTAACTAGCCAGGTCCAATTCTATCAGTGGCTCACTCAGACCTCACAGGCCAGTCCCACCCACACTGGACTTGAGGCAAAGACATGGAGGATTCACAGACATGAATACAGACATTACCCCAGTACCTGAAACAATTGGACACAGACAGACACACACCTTCACTGAAGTCCAAAGAGGGGACTTGAACTTAGGATTTTCTGATACAGATCCACAGACATGATTTTAAACCAGCAAAATGTGTTTATCAAATGATCATTATCCCATGAAGTTAAGCTACTGCATGGTAAAAGAGTAGCAACGATGTTGAATTGGGACATTAGCTAAGGACAAAGTCAGTGTCTCTGCCCATCACTACATAAGCAACCTTGGATATCACATGCCTCAAACATTCACCATTAGATTTAAACCTCTTGGTCTTTGGGAGAATATTCTGTCCATATTCATATGTCCTAATCTGTCCTTCAAACAGGGCATGGATAATGTCCCACACTTTGGAAGGCTCTCAAATCCTCCACAGCTGATGTCAACCCCACTCCTGAAACTGACTTCACACTATCTGTTGGGGAATCACCTTAGACCTTTTCATTCTCTGATGATGACACTGAAGACAGGGTACCTCCCATCACACAGTACTAAACCTCAACCATCTTCCAGCAGTCAGAGCCCAAGATTCACTGGACTCTGTCTCCCTGTAGGAGGCAAGCATGGGACCCAGTGAGGCCATGCAATTCCTTATGTCACGAATCTCAGGGAAGTGTTGGATCAGAAGACTGCTAGTGACACCCACAAACCCAAATGGTCATTATCACAAGGGAACTTACTGGTGGAAGGGGCATAGGTAGCATAGTAGTTAGCCTGGAACCCTCTCCTGGTGACACTGCCATCAGTGATGAAGACAACAGACATGAAGTTGCCTGTGGAGGTGAAAGTTCCATTGGCTCCATCACAAACTCGAGCAAAGGGAGAAGAATACTGTTCAGGGCCATCATACAGTAGGATGTAGTCATAGCTGCAGCCTCCTTCAAGCCTGAGGAGACAGAAAAAACAGTTAGCTTCTGTATGTCTGGAATTTGATGTGGGGCTCCCAGCTCAGGGATCAGTGTCCTGACAAAATATATCATCTGAAAGAGTAGATAACTTCCTGGAATCCTAAGGGAATTTGTCCATCTTCCCATGATTGTCATGGCTGGTCTACAGGATGCATTCAGGGTTACAGATGTGTAATCTACAATACCTGCCACGACAGCTTTTATATCAACAGAGGAAGATCACCTGAGAAAAATCTAATTTATTGCTTCAAGGAGTCCCCAATTATTTTCCAGATATAAATAAATGTCTTTATTTTTTTAAAAAATGAAGGGGAGATAAAACTAAAGTCAAAACTTAGAGAAATGGTTCACTGATTTTTTTTACCTCTGGAAGAATAAGGTTCAATTTCCAGCATACATAAAAGGAGATCACAACCAACAGTCATTCTGTAGCCAGTGGACTAAACACCCTCCCCCTCTGATCTCTCTGGACACCATGCAAGCATGCGTTTCACAGACATACGTACAGACAAAACACACACACACACACACGAAATATACAATTCACACAAACAAAAATCATCAGACAAGCCTGTGGACATCTCTGGCCCTTGCCTGTGTCATCTATAATAATGAGCACTTCATTCCTGCCCACTGCAAGCAAAGGCTTGAGGTAAAGCTGTGATGGCACAGTGTGTGTTACACACAAGGATTCATAAGCTGTTACTGCATGAGGCTTCCTGTCAGTGAGATGCTGAAGAGAACCAAACTGACCAGGCTCTGTGCCCACAGTCTAATGAGCATCAGCTGCAGTCTTTACATTGTTTTACAAGGACACCTATACAATGCATATGTGGTCTTGAGCAGAGACATCCAAGGACACTTCAGACAGTCACACAGAGAGAACCTAGCACACAGCTCACTCCAAGTGCTGGGACCCTTCACACCTCAGGAGATTGCGCTTGCACCTGATGCCGGTGCCTCTTAGAATGAGAGAGAGCTGTGAGGACAGCTTTGTACTGAACAGGTCCCTCATTGGCAGCACTGTCCCATTAAAGCCCCAAGAATGTCATTACCTAATGACAAACTGGCCCTGACAATGACTAACAGTTACAAGTATTTCCACGTTCTCTGAAGACCTCCTGATAAACAAGATGAGAAAAGCATGTGTTCTAGCCCACCCTTCTACTTGGGATTAGGAGAGTATCATCTCATTGCCATGCAGCAAATTCAGGACAACCCTGGGACTTTAGCCAGAGTAATTTCAATTTCCTGTGCTTTACATCCATTCGATCCTCCATGGGCTACTCTCATGCCAAGACAAAAATGAAACCCCTTTTTTTAAAGTCACCCTGAATATTGCCCCTCAAATTTCCAAGAACGACACATTCCCACTGAGAATCCCACTGAGATCAGATGTGCACCCACACTTACTGTAAATCTCTGAAGTTCAAGCTCACACGGTTGTTGGTTGGGACCAAAATATTCCACACACATCTGGCATTGTTAGGATAATTCCCAGGGTAAAAGGGACTGTTAAAGTTCCCATAGTGGCCAGTCAGGTTTCCTCCACAGGTATAGTTTACTGTAAGGAAAGGGTGGACATGTTCATGGAGCCCAGGACACACCTCAGACCTGCCTGGCAGTCAGAGGAATGTTTGACACAATATCCAAGGTAGGAACCCAACATGAGGTAACCTAGCTCTGACCAACAATAAAGGCATGGAAGACTCACTCCTAGGTGGCTTTTCTTTGTACAGGTAGGTGCAGGTAGGTGCAGGTTGGGTACTGGATGGGTGATAGGAATGCCCATCTTGGGGAAGTCCATAAAAACCACAGTGAGCTGTCTCCAATGCTTACAATTCCCTGACTGCCAGATGCTGGTGGGTATGAGAGCTCTTGGATTGGAGGTGCAGAATCTCTGCACCCTGGACATAAGGACATCATCGAGCATCATTAACACCAGGCTTAGGGCTTAGTGCAGGTGCCTATGTGTTTGCTGGTATGGGCTTTGATCTCTCTACAGGACAGAGAAAATCTGGAGGAAGCACTGTGGACTCTACACCTGTTTCTACCTGTTCTGACTCACACAGTCCAGGGCCCTGGTCTTCTTGCAATGGTATCATGTGCTGAATGGAATAGAGAGTGTCCAATAATGGGCATATATTTATGACCTGGTGACCTGCTCATGAATCCAACTCCATGAGTCCATCCCCAAGCCCCATGAGGGCTCTTACTAAATCTATCCACTGATTCAGCATTAGATTAAATAGGAGATGGATGGGGGGACAATGTGGGTCACTGGGGATGTACACAGGGATGATATGACCTCTTCCTAATTCCTTCCTTTCTCCTAGTCTTCCAGAGCTGAGCTCCACCACAGATTTAAGAAGATTTAAAAAGAGTCTAGAATTACTGTCACTCTACAACCCTTGGCTAAAGTGTTTAAACTATTCTTTGGTCTCAACCCATACTTACCATAAGGAGGAGTTGTTGTCCACCAATCTAGAAACAAAACAAAGCTGGATTAGAGAAAAGGCCTGTGAATAAAGTTTGGTCAAGTGGAAAACATTGGAAACAGAAGCACTGTAACTGAGATCAAGAAACTCCTTCATTGAGAGCAAGGGATGACACTGGACATGCTCTCCTGTGTCCATGCTACTGAGGGTAAGGGGGGCAAGAAACCACTGCAATGATAGCATTGACATGAATAACAATACTTGGTAATAATGCCATCTACACCTCATTGATATGAGAAAAATGGTCTCTTGTGTCCCATGTCGCTTGACCCTTGCAAAAGAGAGTACACACTAGGAAAATGGCTTAGGAAAATTTCTCTATAGCAAAGGGTTTCTCCAGGATAGTGAGCTTAGCAAAATGGATTAAGCATTGCTACTTTGTTATGCCGCTGAGACAAGCAGAGAGAACCTTTTGTCTCAACAGAAATCACCACTCTACTTTATAGAGAAGGCTGAAGGAAGGTGAGGATTCTGAAGGGTTCCACCCATTCTGGAGCAGATTCTGAGGCTGTGAGCAGAACTGGGAAGGGGAACACAAACACTGAGGCAGATGTGGACTCACCTGGAGTGGTTGGGAATGGCGGTGGAAGAGCTGTGAAAAAAGGAAGCCATATCAGTCTCTTGAACAGAAGGTGCCTAGCCTGACCCTGGGTTCATGACACTGAGCAGACCAGACACTGGGTGTCATCATCTGCTGCCCCAGAATAGAGATTGTTAGTCATCTATATGGCCAGGAAGATGCTAGCCATGGGGTCATAAGAGCCCACACTCTGAACCCACCTCAAGGTGAGAACGAACTCTGGATGTGTTGACATGATGAGTCCTGTGATTTGTCTGTTCAGTGAGTCAGGGGTAACTAGCCAGGTCCAATTCTATCAGTGGCTCACTCAGACCTCACAGGCCAGTCCCACCCACACTGGACTTGAGGCAAAGACATGGAGGATTCACAGACATGAATACAGAAATTACCCCAGTACCTGAAAGAACTGGACACTGACACACCTTCACTGAAGCCCAAAGAGGGGACTTGAACTTGGGATTTTCTGGTCCATAGACATGATTTAAAACCAGCAAAATGTTTTGTCAAATGATCATTGTCCCATGAAGTTAAGCTACTGCATGGTAAAAGAGTAGCAACGCCATTAAGTCGGGACATTAGCTAAGGACAAAGTCAGTGTCTCTGCCCATCACTACATAAGCAACCTGAGATATCACATGCCTTAAACCTTCACCATTAGACTCATAGGACTACATAGTGTCTCTGATTTAAACCTCTTGGTCTTTGGGAGAATATTCTGTCCATATTCATATGTCCTAATCTGTCCTTCAAACAGGGCATGGATAATGTCCCACACTTTGGAAGGCTCTCAAATCCTCCACAGCTGATGTCAACCCCACTCCTGAAACTGACTTCACACTATCTGTTGGGGAATCACCTTAGACCTTTTCATTCTCTGATGATGACACTGAAGACAGGGTACCTCCCATCACACAGTACTAAACCTCAACCATCTTCCAGCAGTCAGAGCCCAAGATTCACTGGACTCTGTCTCCCTGTAGGAGGCAAGCATGGGACCCAGTGAGGCCATGCAATTCCTTATGTCACGAATCTCAGGGAAGTGTTGGATCAGAAGACTGCTAGTGACACCCACAAACCCAAATGGTCATTATCACAAGGGAACTTACTGGTGGAAGGGGCATAGGTAGCATAGTAGTTAGCCTGGAACCCTCTCCTGGTGACACTGCCATCAGTGATGAAGACAACAGACATGAAGTTGCCTGTGGAGGTGAAAGTTCCATTGGCTCCATCACAAACTCGAGCAAAGGGAGAAGAATACTGTTCAGGGCCATCATACAGTAGGATGTAGTCATAGCTGCAGCCTCCTTCAAGCCTGAGGAGACAGAAAAAACAGTTAGCTTCTGTATGTCTGGAATTTGATGTGGGGCTCCCAGCTCAGGGATCAGTGTCCTGACAAAATATATCATCTGAAAGAGTAGATAACTTCCTGGAATCCTAATGGAATTTGTCCATCTTCCCATGATTGTCATGGCTGGTCTACAGGATGCATTCAGGGTTACAGATGTGTAATCTACAATACCTGCCACGACAGCTTTTATATCAACAGAGGAAGATCACCTGAGAAAAATCTAATTTATTGCTTCAAGGAGTCCCCAATTATTTTCCAGATATAAATAAATGTCTTTAATTATTTAAAAAATGAAGGGGAGATAAAACTAAAGTCAAAACTTAGAGAAATGGTTCACTGATTTTTCTTTCCCTCTGGAAGAGTAAGGTTCAATTCCCAGCATACATAAAAGGAGATCACAACCAACAGTCATTCTGTAGCCAGTGAACTAAACACCCTCCCCCTCTGATCTCTCTGGACACCATGCAAGCATGCTTTCACAGACATACGTACAGACAAAACACTCACACACACACACACACACACACACACACACACGAAATATACAATTCACACAAACAAAAATCATCAGACAAGCTGGTGGACATCTCTGGCCCTTGCCTGTGTCATCTATAATAATGAGCACTTCATTCCTGCCCACTGCAAGCAAAGGCTTGAGGTAAAGCTGTGATGGCACAGTGTGTGTTACACACAAGGATTCATAAGCTGTTACTGCATGAGGCTTCCTGTCAGTGAGATGCTGAAGAGAACCAAACTGACCAGGCTCTGTGCCCACAGTCTAATGAGCATCAGCTGCAGTCTATACATTGTTTTACAAGGACACCTATACAATGCATATGTGGTCTTGAGCAGAGACATCCAAGGACACTTCAGACAGTCACACAGAGAGAACCTAGCACACAGCTCACTCCAAGTGCTGGGACCCTTCACACCTCAGGAGATTGCGCTTGCACCTGATGCCGGTGCCTCTTAGAATGAGAGAGAGCTGTGAGGACAGCTTTGTACTGAACAGGTCCCTCATTGGCAGCACTGTCCCATTAAAGCCCCAAGAATGTCATTACCTAATGACAAACTGGCCCTGACAATGACTAACAGTTACAAGTATTTCCACGTTCTCTGAAGACCTCCTGATAAACAAGATGAGAAAAGCATGTGTTCTAGCCCACCCTTCTACTTGGGATTAGGAGAGTATCATCTCATTGCCATGCAGCAAATTCAGGACAACCCTGGGACTTTAGCCAGAGTATTTTCAATTTCCTGTGCCTTACATCCATTCCACCTTCCATGGACCACTCTTGTGCCAAGTCATAAGAAAACCCTTGTTTTAAAAGTCATCTTGAGTATTGCCCCGTGAATTTCAAAGCAACCCACATTCGATCTTTATATCTGCTGTTCACCCACACTTACTGTAAATCTCTGAAGTTCAAGCTCACACGGTTGTTGGTTGGGACCAAAATGTTCCACACACATCTGGCATTGTTAGGATAATTCCCAGGGTAAAAGGGACTGTTAAAGTTCCCATAGTGGCCAGTCAGGTTTCCTCCACAGGTATAGGTTACTGTAAGGAAAGGGTGGACATGTTCATGGAGCCCAGGACACACCTCAGACCTGCCTGGCAGTCAGAGGAATGTTTGACACAATATCCAAGGTAGGAACCCAACATGAGGTAACCTAGCTCTGACCAACAATAAAGGCATGGAAGACTCACTCCTAGGTGGCTTTTCTTTGTACAGGTAGGTACAGGTAGGTGTAGGTTGGGTACTGGATGGGTGATAGGAATGCCCATCTTGGGGAAGTCCATAAAAACCACAGTGAGCTGTCTCCAATGCTTACAATTCCCTGACTGCCAGATGCTGGTGGGTATGAGAGCTCTTGGATTGGAGGTGCAGAATCTCTGCACCCTGGACATAAGGACATCATCGAGCATCATTAACACCAGGCTTAGGGCTTAGTGCAGGTGCCTATGTGTTTGCTGGTATGGGCTTTGATCTCTCTACAGGACAGAGAAAATCTGGAGGAAGCACTGTGGACTCTACACCTGTTTCTACCTGTTCTGACTCACACAGTCCAGGGCCCTGGTCTTCTTGCAATGGTATCATGTGCTGAATGGAATAGAGAGTGTCCAATAATGGGCATATATTTATGACCTGGTGACCTGCTCATGAATCCAACTCCATGAGTCCATCCCCAAGCCCCATGAGGGCTCTTACTAAATCTATCCACTGATTCAGCATTAGATTAAATAGGAGATGGATGGGGGGACAATGTGGGTCACTGGGGATGTACACAGGGATGATATGACCTCTTCCTAATTCCTTTCTTTCTCCTAGTCTTGCTGAGCTGTGCTCCATTACATATTTAATCAGATTCTAGAATTCTTGACTCCCTCCAACCTTCTGGTTTAAATATTTACAGCTATGCTTTGGTCACCCCCCCCCATACTTACCAGGGGAAGTGGTTGTATCAAACCAATCTAGAGAAAAAAACAAATTGGATTAGAGGAAAGGCCTGTGCACTGTTTGGTCGAGTGGTAAACATTGAACACAGAAGCACTGTGGCTGAAGAAAAGTAATTCTTTCCCTTGAGAACATGTGTCGGCACTGACCACACTCACATATGTCCATCACAGTGAGAAGGAGCTGTCTCAGGGTCCCAGGACAGCTTTACCTTATTCCAGAATGATATTTGCTTGACAAAATAGCCATGCCATCTATACCAAAAGCATATGAAAGAAACAATCTCTACTGTTACCATGTCACACGACTCTTGGAAGACATGTCTTTTTAGACAACTGTTATAGACAAGGACTTCCATAGCAAATAATTCACCAAAGAAGTGAAGTTTCGCAAAATGAATGAAGTGGGGCAAATTTTATGTCCCTGAGACAGACAGAGGGTTACATTGATTCAGCAGACACTACTGTCCTTTGTTCTCAGTTTGTTTCATTCTCTTTGTCTTTCTGAACTGTGCTCCACCACAGAATTTAAGAAGATCCTGAAATTCCCGAATTTCTCCAAACTCTTGGTTGAAGTGTTTACAGCTATGCTGTGGTGTTACCCCAAGCTTACCATAGTAAGGAGTTGTAGTTGTGGGCCAATCTGGAAAGGAAAATAAAACTGGATTAGAAGGAAGACCTGGGCAACAAAGTTTGGACAAGACACACGTGCTGGAAAGAGTAATGTTGGCCACAGAAGCACTGTGGCTTGGGAAAAGAGAGTCCTTTCCTTGAGAGAATGTGGTAGCCTTAGACATGCTTTCACTGGACCCTCACTGCAGCAAGGAGGTATCCCAGGGTGCCAAGGCTACTGTAACTTTGTCCTGAATAACTGTTGCTTAGTAAAAGAATCATGTAATCTATTCCTTGGAATGACGACAGGAATAATCTCTGCTGTTCCATGTTCCATGCCCCTTGCATGAGACACTGTTTCTACATGGATAGTATACTAAGGGACCTTCATAGCAGATTATATCACCAGAAAAGTTAAATGTAGCAACATCAAGTAAGTGCTGCCACTCTTCTACCCCACTGAGACAAGCTAAGGTGATATTTGGCTCAACAGAAGCTGACTTTTTTGCTTTATGGACAATGATGAAGGCTTGGGGACAGACAGACTCCTGAAGAGTCCCATCATTCTGCCACTGCTGGTTGTGACTGTGAGAAGATACAAGGCATCCCTAACCAACAACAGATCATCAATTCAACTTGTGTGAACCTCTTTTCTATACTGAAAGCACAAGAGATCATGGGTCATGTAGGAATCTTCTGCTTAACTTCATCCCTTTACTAGCAGAGCAAGGTTTCATCGAATGACATATGGGAAGCCTGACATTTGTAAGAAAACATGTTACCTGTTGTAATATCTGGGGTAGTGGTAGTCCATGTGTCTGAAATTGAAAACAAATGGAAAAGTAAAAGTTAGATTGGCAGATATATGAAAACCAAAATAAATCCTCCACCCAATGTAGAATCCATTAAAAGTAGTACTTGTGACTTCTGAACCAGAGGACAATACAGAATCTCACACAAGGTACATGGCCTTACAGGATATCAGACTGTTCCTCCAACTCTCTCAAACCAAGATATTTTTTTCTCTAAAAAGCAGTGTGTTCATTTGGGGACCCTGGTATTATACAGGTACATGTGACACCATGAACAAGACTTCGATAAAGAGCAAGAAAGAACAAAATGTCCAAAGGCAACAGAGTATAGGACACAGAAGAATGAATTGTCCTGGTCCCCAGAAACACAAAATATTTCTTGGCTGCCATACATTCTACATCATTTTGTAGTGAGTAGGGAGGTGACCATAGCAGGTAGGAGACAGGGATTTATGGGAACAGGAGAGAGTGACTTAGACAATGCTGACACCTGTACAGAAGGCCAGAGAATACCCAGTACATTTGCAGATAGGTCTTGAATGTGAAAAGGCGAAAGTTCATTACCTCAATCATTTTTTACTTCGATTAAAACATTTGAGCCATATATATATATATATATATATATCCAAAACAGGATATCCAAATATAGGTATCTTCCAGATGGAGATGCTGAGACTTACCGAACCAGGGTGTGGACTGGATTTGGGCATCTGTAAGAAAGAAGGGAGGTTAGACAACAACCACCGGACTTCACCTATAGTGACAAGTGGGACATAGTTGATGATTTTACAGTAACAACTCATGCTCATGCTCTGCAAATCCCCATTGTAACCAGAATCCTAGATGAGGTCATAGAATCCAAAGCTGAAACCCATAACCAAGGTCTAAATTTCAAGGCCTACAACTTATTATCTGCAATAAGAAAGTAATGGCTACCTCTGAAACAGGCAACAAAATTATTTTCATTGCCCTGTAGATGATCAACCAAAAGCCAATCACAGTGATGAGCTATGGAAGACATGCTGCGGTACCCTCTTACTAGGAGAATACTGTTAGAAAAGTGTGTCCCGACTTGCTTATGACATAAAACGTATACTTCACGGTTGGCTCAAGAAGAAATAAATGTTACCCCCTCATAACTACACCTCACTCTTTCTTCGATATTTCTGCCAGTGGTAGTGAGTGAGTCATTAACATTAGATTAGAAACTGGGCTGACCTAAAATGACTAGAGGTAACCAGAAACGTCTATGACATAAAGGAGAGTAGAAAGCACCACCAAAACTGTCCTCCAAAAGGGCTACATCTGGGAAGGGTGTGGAACCACAGGCAATTGAGTCAAGTGGATGTTCCTCACCTACAACAATGTCTTGTTATTTTACCCTTGGGGTGCTGGCTACGAAAGCTTTAAAAACGGTACCCATGTCCTTCCAAAGAACATAGTACTGCTTGAAGGAGGAAATGTGTAATGACACTGTGATTCCCTCAAGAGAGGAACCTAACTTGGTACTTCCAGTGTCACCCGAATCAAGGAAAATCTAGAGATCCTGTGTGAGTTATAGACAGACCCGTGAGTGAGAAAAACGAAACAATGCAGAATGATTGCCAGTACTGTTGACCCAAATGAAGTTCTGTGGACAGGAATAAGTGTCCTAACGAAACCACATTGTTGAGAGCAAACGTTAATAGTATCTGGATCATACCTGAGCAGATGACTCCAGCATCCTCGTAGTGTCCACAGTTATGGGAAAGCCAGCCATTGTGGCGGCAGCTCCACAGATTGTACTCATGTCCACTACAGGCCACATTATCCAGGACAATGTTCCCGGAGCCCTGCCCAAACCAGGCTTCTACTTTAGCAGACACGGCCCAGCCACAGCCCAGCTGCCGGCACACCACGTTGGCATCATTGATGTCCCAACTGTCATCACACACGGTGCCCCAGGAACCCTGGTAAAGGATCTCTACACGGCCCTGACACCTGTCGCTTCCATTCACCAGCCTCAGAGCCAAACCAGAATCTGTACCTGGAAAGACAAGATGGATTGTTCCTTTAGTTCTTGTGTGGATGATGGAGCTTGTGCATTCATGGACAGCTCTCTCATGGGGTTTAATGCAATATGTAATATGAACGCCTCCCACTCTTCCTTCTTGGAAACCCTGTCTTGCAAAGACCTTTACCACATTCAATTGGCCTTTGCACCCTCAGTGGAGTGCTCACTATTTCTCTTCTACACATTAAAGGTGAGTTTGTCACCAGCATGGTCAGGTTTCCACAAAGAGTATTGACATGGGTAGAATCTGTTCTGGACGGTGACCAGGTATCTACTCTAGCTTATAGCTAAGGCCTATACATGCCATGCACTCTTCTGGATGACAACATACACGGCCGAATCCAGGTGGTTCATGGAAGGAACGTAAGGAGAGCCCTCCAACTCCTAACACACAGACTGCACACGGGCACATCTAGCCCCAGCTGACCCACGCCTGCCAGCAGTAAAGGAGGAGGTAGGGGACGTTGCTCTGTGACAGACCAAAAGGGACAAAACTCTGGTAGCAGAGAACTTCATGGATCCCTGGAAAGTCTGTCCCCTGATGATTACACAAAGTTGAGACTTTGTATCAGAACTGCATTTCAAGACCAACAGAAAATTAGTAAGCATCATCAACCCACTGAGCTGTGTCAGGTGACTGAGTCCATGAGCTCAATTTCTGTGTACAATAACAGTACACTAGAGAACCCCAGGCTTTGTGACTTCTGGTTCCAAGACCACTATTGTGAACTTATCACTGAAGTCAAGTACCCAAAATGTTTAAATAAGACAAAGATCCACAGGGGGTTTAGCACAGGGGAATACTCTAGCTCTCTAGACAGGGCACCCTTTGAAGGGACTAGAATGGGATCCCATAATATATCTTGTCTAATCTTGTCTAATCTTGATGCTCTAACTCCAAAGTTTTTCTCTGACATATTACTAAACCTAGATGGCATGGAATTAGCAAAGCTCCCACCCTATGACTCACTACTACACACACACACACACACACACACACACACACACACACACGCGCGCGCGCACGCACGCACGCACACAAAGTGGGGAGGAATGACAGGGATCCCAGTGGAGGAAAGCCCCATGGAATAGTAGGCAATCCCACCCAACCCCTTAAGTGTCCCAACAAGACAACAGCATGAAGGACACTGGCATTTCAACTTACACAGAGAGATTTATGCGATTTTTGTTACCTGCTGGTGTATAATACACTGGAGTGGTTGTCTCTGGAGGGGAAGTAGATTCTGGAGTTGTGTAAGGATATTGAGTGGTTGAATCTACAGTCCATATACATGTTAGAAAGAAAAATGGAAAGTGAAATTTAATTCTCTATTGTTAAAAGAAAAAAAAAAAGACTGGCATGGATAGGTAAATCTGAAGATGGGATGTGATTCAGGGTCTGTACTGGCTAATACTATGTGACTTAAAATGTAAAGAAATATCTGTGGTCGTGAATTCTCCCATTCTAAAAGATATTTTTGTAGAAAATGGTGTTAAGCTGAAGGACTACATTAGCCTTGTGCTGAAGCCACGGGGAATCGATACAAAAGTGTTTCCTATACATACAAAACTAATTCATTGTTCTTATCTAATTGCATTGGCTGACACACCAAATGTAATATTCACTAGCAGAGGATTGGAACACCTGTTGCCTGTTTGTGTGTGAATGTATTTTAAAGTCAATATTTCTGTATCTACCCTAGACTACACCCAAACTCAAGAACTTCCTAACTCAGCCTCCTGAGGAGGACAGAGAAAGGAAGACGGAGAGGGAGAGGGAGAGGGGGAGAGGGGGAAAGAGAGAGAGAGAGAGACTATGAGCAATCCTACCTCAAACTATTTTACTTCAGTGGAAATGCTTCAAATATGCCCCCCATTTACATAAGATACAAACTTCAAGCATCTATGTTTAAATTGTTCAAACTGTCACCTGGCTCTTTATCAGATCACCTCCAAAAGTGACATAGTCCACCAATTAGAATGGCAATACCTGTAGATAGGCCCATTGTTAATAAATACCCAGTTTCTGAGTGACCAGGATATGGAGGAAAGTGACCTCTCTCCACACAAACAGCTCTATGAGAGTGGTCTCCTCAGGACTGTATCAAAGCCTTGCCCAATTCTCTCTTCCCTTCCATCTGACAGATATATTTGCAACATGGTGCCTATCAAGCCTGGAGGAGTTTCAGACACCTAAGAGTGCCCTGTAAGGCTAAAAACACAGAGCCGAAAACAGGTTTTTCTTGCATAGTTGTTACAAATAATAAATGGTAGAATATGAATAAGTCAGAAGATAACCAGTCTCATGCTTGGGATACCACTCATGCTTGAGTAATGCCTTTCCTATGGACCATTTGGTGTCCCAAGAAATTCTGGGTTGGCCAGAGACCTTGGTGTGGAGAATGTTCTTCCTGATGATCTGGGACCAAAAAAAAAAAAAAATCCCAAGGAGGAAAGTAAGTGACTTTACCTCCAAAGCCCAGGTTGTCAGAGCCTAAACAGATCAAATTTGCCTCCAACATCTCCCATGAGAGGAACTCAATGAGGAAAGGCAGGATCTGTGATGTCCAGGGTGGAGAATCAGGGCTCCCATGGGAGCTTTATTTTTCTACGACCTCAGAGGGAAAGAAACGACAAAGGCACTGGCTAAGCATACTCTGTCTTCCACTCCAGGAACCAGAGCCAGAGTCAGCTCCCTATGCTGGACAAGGTGCAGTGTGAAACATGGGAACCTTGGGCTCTGAGAATGTGCAACATACTCCTAGAAACAACAACCTTTTACCCCTTGGGGATACTTCTTCAGGACGATCCCCATCGACATCTCAGGGTCACAATGCAATGCATATATGCCTATCGAGTGCCCAAGGCCACTGTAACTTTGTCCTGAAGGACAGTTGCTTGGTATAGAATCATAATATCTATTCTTTAGGATCATGAGAGGAATATTCTCTACTGTTCCAGGCAGCATGGCTCTAGCATTAGATACCCTTTTCTAGATAAATACCATACATAATAAGGGGCCTCTGTAGCTAATGATTTCACAAGGAAAGCAAAGTGTAGAAAAATTAAGTAAATGCTGCCCCTCCTCAATCCCTCTGAACAAGCTAGGGTCATACTTGGCTCAACAGAAGCTGCCTCTTTACGCTATGGAGAAGGCTGAAATTTTGGGGACAGACTCCTGTAGGGTTCCGCCGTTCTATCCCTACTGGCTGTGGCTGTGAGCATACCTTACCAGCAACACATCATCGCCTGGGCTATGCATGAAACTCCTTTCTATTCTATCATGGATCGGACAGGAAATACCTTAACCCTCATCCCTTTATTAGCATAGCAAGGTTTCATCCAGAGATATATTAGAAGCCCGACCATGGATAAGAAGACACATTATCTACTGTAATATCAGGAGTAGTAGTAGGCCATATGTCACAAATTGACAACACAAAGAAAAGTAAAGTTACATTGACAGACATCTAGACACTAACAGATATCCTACACACAATGCAGGATGAGTTCAGGAGTTGCACTTGTGACTCATGATCCAGGGACAAATCCAGATTTTCACGTAGGGAACATGTCCTTTGTAGGTGTACTCCACCTCTCTCAACCCAAGTATTTTTTCTTCTCTAAGAAGTTCTGTGTCCATTTGGGGACACGGGTATTGGATAGATACATGTGACACCATGGACCAGACTTCGATAAACAGCAGGAAAGTGTGAAAAGATCAAAGGCAACAGAGTGTGGGACACAGAAGATTCTATTGTTCTGGCCCCAAGAAACACAAAACATTTCTTGGCCGCCATAGCATGTTCATCATTTCACAGGGTGTAGGCAGTTGACCACGTAGCAGATAGGAGACTGGGTTGTACAGGAAGAGGAGAGAGTGACTTAGACAATGCTGACCCCTCTGCAGAAGGCCAGAGAACCCCACATAGATTTGCATAGGTCTTGAATGTGAAAGGGCCAGATTTCATCCCATCAATGAATTTGTACATACGTTGCAGATGTTTGAGCCGAGACTCTATCAAATACTTGGTGCAAACTTGGCTTGGGAACAAAAAGCACCCTCTAAATACTAACGAGCCAAGTAAAGACAAAGTACTCCCAAAATGGGATCCCAAAGTATAGCGATCTTCCAGATAGAGATGCTGAGATTTACTGGGCTTGGGTGTGGAGTAGGTTAGGGCAATTGTAAGAAAGAAGGGAGGTTAGGCAACAAGCACAGGACCCCATCTGGAGGGAAGAGTGGGACAGAGTTGACGTTTTTACAGAAAGAGTTCATGTTCTGCACATTCGCAGTGTAATCTGAATCCTAGATCTAGTCATAGAGCCCAACGCTGAACCCGACAACCAAAGTCTGGACCTCAGTGCCTACCTAGAACTCATTCTCTGCAATAAGAAAGTAATGGCTACCTCTGAAACAGGCAAGAAACTTATTTTCATTGCTCTGTAGATAATCAACCAAAACCAGTCTCAGTGATGAGCTGTAGAAGGCACACTGCTGCGGTACCCTCCTGTTAGGAGAAGACTGTTGGGAGAGTGTGGTCCGCCTTGCTTTTGTCCTAACACATATCCTTCATGGCAGGTATATGAAGAAATAGATGTTACCACCCTCATAACTACACCTCACTCTTCCTATGCCATTTCTGCCAGTGATAGTAATGAGTCATTGACTTTAGATTAGAGATAGAATTGACCTAAAATGACTAGAGGTAACCAGAAATGTCTATGACATGAAGGAGAGTAGAAAGCACCACCAAAACTGTCCTCCAAAAGGGCTACATCTGGGAAGGGTGTGGAACCACAGGCAATTGAGTCAAGTGGATGTTCCTCACCTACAACAATGTCTTGTTATTTTACCCTTGGGGTGCTGGCTACGAAAGCTTTAAAACAGTACCCATGTCCTTCCAAAGAACATAGTACTGCTTGAAGGAGGAAATGTGTAATGACACTGTGATTCCCTCAAGAGAGGAACCTAACTTGGTACTTCCAGTGTCACCCGAATCAAGGAAAATCTAGAGATCCTGTGTGAGTTATAGACAGACCCGTGAGTGAGAAAAACGAAACAACGCAGAATGATTGCCAGTACTGTTGACCCAAATGAAGTTCTGTGGACAGGAATAAGTGTCCTAACGAAACCACATTGTTGAGAGCAAACGTTAATAGTATCTGGATCATACCTGAGCAGATGACTCCAGCATCCTCCTGGTGTCCACAGTTATGGGAAAGCCAGCCATTGTGGCGGCAGCTCCACAGATTGTACTCATGTCCACTACAGGCCACATTATCCAGGACAATGTTCCCGGAGCCCTGCCCAAACCAGGCTTCTACTTTAGCAGACACGGCCCAGCCACAGCCCAGCTGCCGGCACACCACATTGGCATCATTGATGTCCCAACTGTCATCACACACGGTGCCCCAGGAACCCTGGTAAAGGATCTCTACACGGCCCTGACACCTGTCGCTTCCATTCACCAGCCTCAGAGCCAAACCAGAATCTGTACCTGGAAAGACAAGATGGATTGTTCCTTTAGTTCTTGTGTGGATGATGGAGCTTGTGCATTCATGGACAGCTCTCTCATGGGGTTTAATGCAATATGTAATATGAACGCCTCCCACTCTTCCTTCTTGGAAACCCTGTCTTGCAAACCTTTACCACATTCAATTGGCCTTTGCACCCTCAGTGGAGTGCTCACTATTTCTCTTCTACACATTAAAGGTGAGTTTGTCACCAGCATGGTCAGGTTTCCACAAAGAGTATTGACATGGGTGGAATCTGTTCTGGACGGTGACCAGGTATCTACTCTAGCTTATAGCTAAGGCCTATACATGCCATGCACTCTTCTGGATGACAACATACAAGGCAGAATCCAGGTGGTTCATGGAAGGAACGTAAGGAGAGCCCTCCAACTCCTAACACACAGACTGCACACGGGCACATCTAGCCCCAGCTGACCCACACCTGCCATCAGTAAAGGAGGAGGTAGGGGACGTTGCTCTGTGACAGACCAAAAGGGACAAAACAGTGAGTTCTCTGGTAGCAGAGAACTTCATGGATCCCTGGAAAGTCTGTCCCCTGATGATTACACAAAGTTGAGACTTTGTATCAGAACTGCATTTCAAGACCAACAGAAAATTAGTAAGCATCATCAACCCACTGAGCTGTGTCAGGTGACTGAGTCCATGAGCTCAATTTCTGTGTACAATAACAGTACACTAGAGAACCCCAGGCTTTGTGACTTCTGGTTCCAAGACCACTATTGTGAACTTATCACTGAAGTCAAGTACCCAAAATGTTTAAATAAGACAAAGATCCACAGGGGTTTAGCACAGGGGAATACTCTAGCTCTCTAGACAGGGCACCCTTTGAAGGGACTAGAATGGGATCCCATAATATATCTTGTCTAATCTTGTCTAATCTTGATGCTCTAACTCCAAAGTTTTTCTCTGACATATTACTAAACCTAGATGGCATGGAATTAGCAAAGCTCCCACCTATGACTCACTACTACACACACACACATACACACACACACACACACACACACACACACACACACACACACACACACAAAGGGGGAAGGAATGACAGGGATCCCAGTGGAGGAAAGCCCCATGGAATAGTAGGCAATCCCACCCAACCCCTTAAGTGTCCCAACAAGACAACAGCATGAAGGACACTGGCATTTCAACTTACACAGAGAGATTTATGCGATTTTTGTTACCTGCTGGTGTATAATACACTGGAGTGGTTGTCTCTGGAGGGGAAGTAGATTCTGGAGTTGTGTAAGGATATTGAGTGGTTGAATCTACAGTCCATATACATGTTAGAAAGAAAAATGGAAAGTGAAATTTAATTCTCTATTGTTAAAAGAAAAAAAAAGACTGGCAAGGATAGTTAAATCTGAAGATGGGATGTGATTCAGGGTCTGTACTGGCTAATACTATGTGACTTAAAATGTAAAGAAATATCTGTGGTCGTGAATTCTCCCATTCTAAAAGATATTTTTGTAGAAAATGGTGTTAAGCTGAAAGACTACATTAGCCTTGTGCTGAAGCCACGGGAATCGATACAAAAGTGTTTCCTATACATACAAAACTAATTCATTGTTCTTATCTAATTGCATTGGCTGACACACCAAATGTAATATTCACTAGCAGAGGATTGGAACACCTGTTGCCTGTTTGTGTGTGAATGTATTTTAAAGTCAATATTTCTGTATCTACCCTAGACTACACCCAAACTCAAGAACTTCCTAACTCAGCCTCCTGAGGAGGACAGAGAAAGGGAGAGGAAAAGGGAGAGGAAGAGGGAGAGGGAGAGGGAGAGGGAGAGGGAGAGGGAGAGAGAGAGAGAGAGAGAGAGAGAGAGAGAGAGAGAGAGAGAGAGAGAGAGAGAGAGAATATGAACAATCCTACCTCAAACTATTTTACTTCAGTGGAAATGCTTCAAATATGCCCCCCATTTACTTCAAGCATCTATGTTTAAATTGTTCAAACTGTCACCTGGCTCTTTATCAGATCACCTCCAAAAGTGACATAGTCCACCAATTAGAATGGCGATACCTGTAGATAGGCCCATTGTTAATAAATACCCAGTTTCTGAGTGACCAGGATATGGAGGAAAGTGACCTCTCTCCACACAAACAGCTCTATGAGAGTGGTCTCCTCAGGACTGTATCAAAGCCTTGCCCAATTCTCTCTTCCCTTCCATCTGACAGATATATTTACATCATGGTGCCTATCAAGCCTGGAGGAGTTTCAGACACCTAAGAGTTCCCTGTAAGGCTAAAAACACAGAGCGGAAAACAGGTTTTTCTTGCATAGTTGTCACAAATAATAAATGGTAGAATATGAATAAGTCAGAAGATAACCAGTCTCATCCTTGGGATACCACTCATGCTTGAGTAATGCCTTTCCTATGGACCATTTGGAGTCCCAAGAAATTCTGGGTTGGCCAGAGACCTTGGTGTGGAGAATGTTCTTCCTGATGATCTAGGATCAAAAAAAAAAATCCCAAGGAGGAAAGTAAGTGACTTTACCTCCAAAGCCCAGGTTGTCAGAGCCTAAACAGATCAAATTTGCCTCCAACAGCTCTCATGAGAGGAACTCAATGAGGAAAGGCAGGATCTGTGATGTCCAGGGTGGAGAATCAGGGCTCTCATGGGAGCTTTATTTTTCTACGACCTCAGAGGGAAAGAAACGACAAAGGCACTGGCTAAGCATACTCTGTCTTCCACTCCAGGAACCAGAGCCAGAGACAGCTCCCTATGCTGGACAAGGCGCAGTGTGAAACATGGGAACCTTGGGCTCTGAGAATGTGCAACATACTCCTAGAAACAACAACCTTTTACCCCTTGGGGATACCTCTTCAGGACGATCTCCATCGACATCTCAGGGTCACAATGCAATGCATATATGCCTATCGAGTGCCCAAGGCCACTGTAACTTTGTCCTGAAGGACAGTTGCTTGGTATAGAATCATAATATCTATTCTTTAGGATCATGAGAGGAATATTCTCTACTGTTCCAGGCAGCATGGCTCTAGCATTAGATACCCTTTTCTAGATAAATACCATACATAATAAGGGGCCTCTGTAGCTAATGATTTCACAAGGAAAGCAAAGTGTAGAAAAATTAAGTAAATGCTGCCCCTCCTCAATCCCTCTGAACAAGCTAGGGTCATACTTGGCTCAACAGAAGCTGCCTCTTTACGCTATGGAGAAGGCTGAAATTTTGGGGACAGCCGTTCTATCCCTACTGGCTGTGGCTGTGAGCATCCCTTGCCAGCAACACATCATCGCCTGGGCTATGCATGAAACTCCTTTCTATTCTATCATGGATCGGGCAGGAAATACCTTAACCCTCATCCCTTTATTAGCATAGCAAGGTTTCATCCAGAGATATATTAGAAGCCCGACCATGGATAAGAAGACACACTATCTACTGTAATATCAGGAGTAGTAGTAGGCCATATGTCACAAATTGACAACACAAAGAAAAGTAAAGTTACATTGACAGACATCTAGACACTAACAGAGATCCTACACACAATGCAGGATGAGTTCAGGAGTTGCACTTGTGACTCATGATCCAGGGACAAATCCAGATTTTCACGTAGGGAACATGTCCTTTGTAGGACATCAGACTGTACTCCACCTCTCTCAACCCAAGTATTTTTTCTTCTCTAAGAAGTTCTGTGTCCATTTGGGGACACAGGTATTGGATAGATACATGTGACACCATGGACCAGACTTCGATAAACAGCAGGAAAGTGTGAAAAGATCAAAGGCAACAGAGTGTGGGACACAGAAGATTCTATTGTTCTGGCCCCAAGAAACACAAAACATTTCTTGGCCGCCATAGCATGTTCATCATTTCACAGGGTGTAGGCAGTTGACCACGTAGCAGATAGGAGACTGGGTTGCACAGGAAGAGGAGAGAGTGACTTAGACAATGCTGACCCCTCTGCAGAAGGCCAGAGAACCCCACATAGATTTGCATAGGTCTTGAATGTGAAAGGGCCAGATTTCATCCCATCAATGAATTTGTACATACGTTACAGATGTTTGAGCCGAGACTCTATCAAATACTTGGTGCAAACTTGGCTTGGGAACAAAAAGCACCCTCTAAATACTAACGAGCCAAGTAAAGACAAAGTACTCCCAAAATGGGATCCCAAAGTATAGCGATCTTCCAGATTGAGATGCTGAGATTTACTGGGCTTGGGTGTGGAGTAGGTAAGAAAGAAGGGAGGTTAGGCAACAAGCACAGGACCCCATCTGGAAGGAAGAGTGAGACAGAGTTGACGTTTTTACAGAAAGAGTTCATGTTCTGCACATTCGCAGTGTAATCTGAATCCTAGATCTAGTCATAGAGCCCAACGCTGAACCCGACAACCAAAGTCCGGACCTCAGTGCCTACCTAGAACTCATTCTCTGCAATAAGAAAGTAATGGCTACCTCTGAAACAGGCAAGAAACTTATTTTCATTGCTCTGTAGATAATCAACCAAAACCAGTCTCAGTGATGAGCTGTAGAAGGCACACTGCTGCGGTACCCTCCTGTTAGGAGAAGACTGTTGGGAGAGTGTGGTCCACCTTGCTTTTGTCCTAACACATATCCTTCATGGCAGGTATATGAAGAAATAGATGTTACCACCCTCATAACTACACCTCACTCTTCCTATGCCATTTCTGCCAGTGATAGTAATGAGTCATTGACTTTAGATTAGAGATAGAATTGACCTAAAATGACTAGAGGTAACCAGAAATGTCTATGACATGAAGGAGAGTAGAAAGCACCACCAAAACTGTCCTCCAAAAGGGCTACATCTGGGAAGGGTGTGGAACCACAGGCAATTGAGTCAAGTGGATGTTCCTCACCTACAACAATGTCTTGTTATTTTACCCTTGGGGTGCTGGCTATGAAAGCTTTAAAACAGTACCCATGTCCTTCCAAAGAACATAGTACTGCTTGAAGGAGGAAATGTGTAATGACACTGTGATTCCCTCAAGAGAGGAACCTAACTTGGTACTTCCAGTGTCACCCGAATCAAGGAAAATCTAGAGATCCTGTGTGAGTTATAGACAGACCCGTGAGTGAGAAAAACGAAACAACGCAGAATGATTGCCAGTACTGTTGACCCAAATGAAGTTCTGAGGACAGGAATAAGAGTCCTAACGAAACCACATTGTTGAGAGCAAACGTTAATAGTATCTGGATCATACCTGAGCAGATGACTCCAGCATCCTCGTAGTGTCCACAGTTATGGGAAAGCCAGCCATTGTGGCGGCAGCTCCACAGATTGTACTCATGTCCACTACAGGCCACATTATCCAGGACAATGTTCCCGGAGCCCTGCCCAAACCAGGCTTCTACTTTAGCAGACACGGCCCAGCCACAGCCCAGCTGCCGGCACACCACGTTGGCATCATTGATGTCCCAACTGTCATCACACACGGTGCCCCAGGAACCCTGGTAAAGGATCTCTACACGGCCCTGACACCTGTCGCTTCCATTCACCAGCCTCAGAGCCAAACCAGAATCTGTACCTGGAAAGACAAGATGGATTGTTCCTTTAGTTCTTGTGTGGATGATGGAGCTTGTGCATTCATGGACAGCTCTCTCATGGGGTTTAATGCAATATGTAATATGAACGCCTCCCACTCTTCCTTCTTGGAAACCCTGTCTTGCAAACCTTTACCACATTCAATTGGCCTTTGCACCCTCAGTGGAGTGCTCACTATTTCTCGTCTACACATTAAAGGTGAGTTTGTCACCAGCATGGTCAGGTTTCCACAAAGAGTATTGACATGGGTGGAATCTGTTCTGGACGGTGACCAGGTATCTACTCTAGCTTATAGCTAAGGCCTATACATGCCATGCACTCTTCTGGATGACAACATACACGGAAGAAACCAGGTGGTTCATGGAAGGAACGTAAGGAGAGCCCTCCAACTCCTAACACACAGACTGCACACGGGCACATCTAGCCCCAGCTGACCCACGCCTGCCAGCAGTAAAGGAGGAGGTAGGGGACGTTGCTGTGTGACAAACCAAAAGGGACAAAACAGTGAGTTCTCTGGTAGCAGAGAACTTCATGGATCCCTGGAAAGTCTGTCCCCTGATGATTACACAAAGTTGAGACTTTGTATCAGGACTGCATTTCAAGACCAACAGAAAATTAGTAAGCATCATCAACCCACTGAGCTGTGTCAGGTGACTGAGTCCATGAGCTCAATTTCTGTGTACAATAGCAGTACACTAGAGAACCCCAGGCTTTGTGACTTCTGGTTCCAAGACCACTATTGTGAACTTATCACTGAAGTCAAGTACCCAAAATGTTTAAATAAGACAAAGATCCACAGGGGTTTAGCACAGGGGAATACTCTTGCTCTCTAGACAGGGCACCCTTTGAAGGGACTAGAATGGGATCCCATAATATATCTTGTCTAATCTTGTCTAATCTTGATGCTCTAACTCCAAAGTTTTTCTCTGACATATTACTAAACCTAGATGGCATGGAATTAGCAAAGCTCCCACCTATGACTCACTACTACACACACACACATACACACACACACACACACACACACACACACACACACACACACACAAAGGGGGAAGGAATGACAGGGATCCCAGTGGAGGAAAGCCCCATGGAATAGTAGGCAATCCCACCCAACCCCTTAAGTGTCCCAACAAGACAACAGCATGAAGGACACTGGCATTTCAACTTACACAGAGAGATTTATGCGATTTTTGTTACCTGCTGGTGTATAATACACTGGAGTGGTTGTCTCTGGAGGGGAAGTAGATTCTGGAGTTGTGTAAGGATATTGAGTGGTTGAATCTACAGTCCATATACATGTTAGAAAGAAAAATGGAAAGTGAAATTTAATTCTCTATTGTTAAAAGAAAAAAAAGACTGGCAAGGATAGTTAAATCTGAAGATGGGATGTGATTCAGGGTCTGTACTGGCTAATACTATGTGACTTAAAATGTAAAGAAATATCTGTGGTCGTGAATTCTCCCATTCTAAAAGATATTTTTGTAGAAAATGGTGTTAAGCTGAAAGACTACATTAGCCTTGTGCTGAAGCCACGGGAATCGATACAAAAGTGTTTCCTATACATACAAAACTAATTCATTGTTCTTATCTAATTGCATTGGCTGACACACCAAATGTAATATTCACTAGCAGAGGATTGGAACACCTGTTGCCTGTTTGTGTGTGAATGTATTTTAAAGTCAATATTTCTGTATCTACCCTAGACTACACCCAAACTCAAGAACTTTCTAACTCAGCCTCCTGAGGAGGACAGAGAAAGGGAGAGGAAAAGGGAGAGGAAGAGGGAGAGGGAGAGGGAGAGGAAGAGGGAGAGGGAGAGGGAGAGAGAGAGAGAGAGAGAGAGAGAGAGAGAGAGAGAGAGAGAGAGAGAGAATATGAACAATCCTACCTCAAACTATTTTACTTCAGTGGAAATGCTTCAAATATGCCCCCCATTTACTTCAAGCATCTATGTTTAAATTGTTCAAACTGTCACCTGGCTCTTTATCAGATCACCTCCAAAAGTGACATAGTCCACCAATTAGAATGGCGATACCTGTAGATAGGCCCATTGCTAACAAATACCCAGTTTCTGAGTGACCAGGATATGGAGGAAAGTGACCTCTCTCCACACAAACAGCTTTATGAGAGTGGTCTCCTCAGGACTGTATCAAAGCCTTGCCCAATTCTCTCTTCCCTTCCATCTGACAGATATATTTACATCATGGTGCCTATCAAGCCTGGAGGAGTTTCAGACACCTAAGAGTTCCCTGTAAGGCTAAAAACACAGAGCCGAAAACAGGTTTTTCTTGCATAGTTGTCACAAATAATAAATGGTAGAATATGAATAAGTCAGAAGATAACCAGTCTCATCCTTGGGATACCACTCATGCTTGAGTAATGCCTTTCCTATGGACCATTTGGTGTCCCAAGAAATTCTGGGTTGGCCAGAGACCTTGGTGTGGAGAATGTTCTTCCTGATGATCTAGGACCAAAAAAAAAAATCCCAAGGAGGAAAGTAAGTGACTTTACCTCCAAAGCCCAGGTTGTCAGAGCCTAAACAGATCAAATTTGCCTCCAACAGCTCTCATGAGAGGAACTCAATGAGGAAAGGCAGGATCTGTGATGTCCAGGGTGGAGAATCAGGGCTCTCATGGGAGCTTTATTTTTCTACGACCTCAGAGGGAAAGAAACGACAAAGGCACTGGCTAAGCATACTCTGTCTTCCACTCCAGGAACCAGAGCCAGAGACAGCTCCCTATGCTGGACAAGGCGCAGTGTGAAACATGGGAACCTTGGGCTCTGAGAATGTGCAACATACTCCTAGAAACAACAACCTTTTACCCCTTGGGGATACCTCTTCAGGACGATCTCCATCGACATCTCAGGGTCACAATGCAATGCATATATGCCTATCGAGTGCCCAAGGCCACTGTAACTTTGTCCTGAAGGACAGTTGCTTGGTATAGAATCATAATATCTATTCTTTAGGATCATGAGAGGAATATTCTCTACTGTTCCAGGCAGCATGGCTCTAGCATTAGATACCCTTTTCTAGATAAATACCATACATAATAAGGGGCCTCTGTAGCTAATGATTTCACAAGGAAAGCAAAGTGTAGAAAAATTAAGTAAATGCTGCCCCTCCTCAATCCCTCTGAACAAGCTAGGGTCATACTTGGCTCAACAGAAGCTGCCTCTTTACGCTATGGAGAAGGCTGAAATTTTGGGGACAGCCGTTCTATCCCTACTGGCTGTGGCTGTGAGCATCCCTTGCCAGCAACACATCATCGCCTGGGCTATGCATGAAACTCCTTTCTATTCTATCATGGATCGGGCAGGAAATACCTTAACCCTCATCCCTTTATTAGCATAGCAAGGTTTCATCCAGAGATATATTAGAAGCCCGACCATGGATAAGAAGACACATTATCTACTGTAATATCAGGAGTAGTAGTAGGCCATATGTCACAAATTGACAACACAAAGAAAAGTAAAGTTACATTGACAGACATCTAGACACTAACAGATATCCTACACACAATGCAGGATGAGTTCAGGAGTTGCACTTGTGACTCATGATCCAGGGACAAATCCAGATTTTCACGTAGGGAACATGTCCTTTGTAGGACATCAGACTGTACTCCACCTCTCTCAACCCAAGTATTTTTCTTCTCTAAGAAGTTCTGTGTCCATTTGGGGACACAGGTATTGGATAGATACATGTGACACCATGGACCAGACTTCGATAAACAGCAGGAAAGTGTGAAAAGATCAAAGGCAACAGAGTGTGGGACACAGAAGATTCTATTGTTCTGGCCCCAAGAAACACAAAACATTTCTTGGCCGCCATAGCATGTTCATCATTTCACAGGGTGTAGGCAGTTGACCACGTAGCAGATAGGAGACTGGGTTGCACAGGAAGAGGAGAGAGTGACTTAGACAATGCTGACCCCTCTGCAGAAGGCCAGAGAACCCCACATAGATTTGCATAGGTCTTGAATGTGAAAGGGCCAGATTTCATCCCATCAATGAATTTGTACATACATTACAGATGTTTGAGCTGAGACTCTATCAAATACTTGGTGCAAACTTGGCTTGGGAACAAAAAGCACTCTCTAAATACTAACGAGCCAAGTAAAGACAAAGTACTCCCAAAATGGGATCCCAAAGTATAGCGATCTTCCAGATTGAGATGCTGAGATTTACTGGGCTTGGGTGTGGAGTAGGTAAGAAAGAAGGGAGGTTAGGCAACAAGCACAGGACCCCATCTGGAAGGAAGAGTGAGACAGAGTTGACGTTTTTACAGAAAGAGTTCATGTTCTGCACATTCGCAGTGTAATCTGAATCCTAGATCTAGTCATAGAGCCCAACGCTGAACCCGACAACCAAAGTCTGGACCTCAGTGCCTACCTAGAACTCATTCTCTGCAATAAGAAAGTAATGGCTACCTCTGAAACAGGCAAGAAACTTATTTTCATTGCTCTGTAGATAATCAACCAAAACCAGTCTCAGTGATGAGCTGTAGAAGGCACACTGCTGCGGTACCCTCCTGTTAGGAGAAGACTGTTGGGAGAGTGTGGTCCACCTTGCTTTTGTCCTAACACATATCCTTCATGGCAGGTATATGAAGAAATAGATGTTACCACCCTCATAACTACACCTCACTCTTCCTATGCCATTTCTGCCAGTGATAGTAATGAGTCATTGACTTTAGATTAGAGATAGAATTGACCTAAAATGACTAGAGGTAACCAGAAATGTCTATGACATGAAGGAGAGTAGAAAGCACCACCAAAACTGTCCTCCAAAAGGGCTACATCTGGGAAGGGTGTGGAACCACAGGCAATTGAGTCAAGTGGATGTTCCTCACCTACAACAATGTCTTGTTATTTTACCCTTGGGGTGCTGGCTATGAAAGCTTTAAAACAGTACCCATGTCCTTCCAAAGAACATAGTACTGCTTGAAGGAGGAAATGTGTAATGACACTGTGATTCCCTCAAGAGAGGAACCTAACTTGGTACTTCCAGTGTCACCCGAATCAAGGAAAATCTAGAGATCCTGTGTGAGTTATAGACAGACCCGTGAGTGAGAAAAAACGAAACAACGCAGAATGATTGCCAGTACTGTTGACCCAAATGAAGTTCTGAGGACAGGAATAAGAGTCCTAACGAAACCACATTGTTGAGAGCAAACGTTAATAGTATCTGGATCATACCTGAGCAGATGACTCCAGCATCCTCGTAGTGTCCACAGTTATGGGAAAGCCAGCCATTGTGGCGGCAGCTCCACAGATTGTACTCATGTCCACTACAGGCCACATTATCCAGGACAATGTTCCCGGAGCCCTGCCCAAACCAGGCTTCTACTTTAGCAGACACGGCCCAGCCACAGCCCAGCTGCCGGCACACCACGTTGGCATCATTGATGTCCCAACTGTCATCACACACGGTGCCCCAGGAACCCTGGTAAAGGATCTCTACACGGCCCTGACACCTGTCGCTTCCATTCACCAGCCTCAGAGCCAAACCAGAATCTGTACCTGGAAAGACAAGATGGATTGTTCCTTTAGTTCTTGTGTGGATGATGGAGCTTGTGCATTCATGGACAGCTCTCTCATGGGGTTTAATGCAATATGTAATATGAACGCCTCCCACTCTTCCTTCTTGGAAACCCTGTCTTGCAAACCTTTACCACATTCAATTGGCCTTTGCACCCTCAGTGGAGTGCTCACTATTTCTCGTCTACACATTAAAGGTGAGTTTGTCACCAGCATGGTCAGGTTTCCACAAAGAGTATTGACATGGGTGGAATCTGTTCTGGACGGTGACCAGGTATCTACTCTAGCTTATAGCTAAGGCCTATACATGCCATGCACTCTTCTGGATGACAACATACACGGCAGAAACCAGGTGGTTCATGGAAGGAACATAAGGAGAGCCCTCCAACTCCTAACACACAGACTGCACACGGGCACATCTAGCCCCAGCTGACCCACGCCTGCCAGCAGTAAAGGAGGAGGTAGGGGACGTTGCTGTGTGACAAACCAAAAGGGACAAAACAGTGAGTTCTCTGGTAGCAGAGAACTTCATGGATCCCTGGAAAGTCTGTCGCCTGATGATTACACAAAGTTGAGACTTTGTATCAGGACTGCATTTCAAGACCAACAGAAAATTAGTAAGCATCATCAACCCACTGAGCTGGGTCAGGTGACTGAGTCCATGAGCTCAATTTCTGTGTACAATAACAGCACACTAGAGAACCCCAGGCTTTGTGACTTCTGGTTCCAAGACCACTATTGTGAACTTATCACTGAAGTCAAGTACCCAAAATGTTTAAATAAGACAAAGATCCACAGGGGTTTAGCACAGGGGAATACTCTAGATCTCTAGACAGGGCACCCTTTGAAGGGACTAGAATGGGATTCCATAATATATCATCACTCTCACTTGCCATGGAAACTTGTCTAATCTTGATGATCTAACTCCACATTTTTTCTCTGACATATTACTAAACCTAGATGGCATGGAATTAGCAAAGCTCCCACCCTATGACTCACTACTACTACTACTACTACACACACACACACACACACACACACACACACACACTCCAGTCCCACACTAGCCAGAAAACACACACACACACACACACACACACACTAGGACAGGGCAGTCTAAGTCCCAGCTCCAGTCCCACACTGGCCAGGAAACACACACACACACACACACACACACACACACACAAAGGGGGGAGGAATGACAGGGATCCCAGTGGAGGAAAGCCCCATGGAATAGTAGGCAATCCCACCCAACCCCTTAAGTGTCCCAACAAGACAACAGCATGAAGGACACTGGCATTTCAACTTACACAGAGAGATTTATGCGATTTTTGTTACCTGCTGGTGTATAATACACTGGAGTGGTTGTCTCTGGAGGGGAAGTAGATTCTGGAGTTGTGTAAGGATATTGAGTGGTTGAATCTACAGTCCATATACATGTTAGAAAGAAAAATGGAAAGTGAAATTTAATTCTCTATTGTTAAAAGGAAAAAAAAAAGACTGGGTAGGATAGTTAAATCTGAAGATGGGATGTGATTCAGGGTCTGTACTGGCTAATACTATGTGACTTAAAATGTAAAGAAATATCTGTGGTCGTGAATTCTCCCATTCTAAAAGATATTTTTGTAGAAAATGGTGTTAAGCTGAAGGACTACATTAGCCTTGTGCTGAAGCCACAGGAATCGATACAAAAGTGTTTCCTATACATACAAAACTAATTCATTGTTCTTATCTAATTGCATTGGCTGACACACCAAATGTAATATTCACTAGCAGAGGATTGGAACACCTGTTGCCTGTTTGTGTGTGAATATATTTTAAAGTCAATATTTCTGTATCTACCCTAGACTACACCCAAACTCAAGAACTTCCTAACTCAGCCTCCTGAGGAGGACAGAGAAAGGAAGAGGGAGAGGGAGAGGGAGAGAGAGAGAGAGAATATGAACAATCCTACCTCAAACTATTTTACTTCAGTGGAAATGCTTCAAATATGCCCCCCATTTACATAAGATACAAACTTCAAGCATCTATGTTTAAATTGTTCAAACTGTCACCTGGCTCTTTATCAGATCACCTCCAAAAGTGACATAGTCCACCAATTAGAATGGCAATACCTGAAGATAGGCCCATTGTTAATAAATACCCAGTTTCTGAGTGACCAGGATATGGAGGAAAGTGACCTCTCTCCACACAAACAGCTTTATGAGAGTGGTCTCCTCAGGACTTTATCAAAGCCTTGCCCAATCCTCTCTTCCCTTCCATCTGACAGATATATTTGCAACATGGTGCCTATCAAGCCTGGAGGGGTTTCAGACACCTAAGAGTGCCCTGTAAGGCTAAAAACACGGAGCCGAAAACAGGTTTTTCTTGCATAGTTGTTACAAATAATAAATGGTAGAATATAAATAAGTCAGAATATAACCAGTCTCATCCTTGGGATACCATTCATGCTTGAATAATGCCTTTCCGGTAGACCCTTTGGAATCCCATGAAATTCTGGGTTGGCCAGAGACCTTGGTGTGGAGAATGTTCTTCCTGACTAGGATCAAATATCCCATGGAGGAATGTAAGTGATTTTCCCTCCCAATACCCAGGCCTAAACTGTTCTGATTTGCCTCCAACATCTCTCACGAGAGGAACTCAATGAAGAAAGGCAGGATCTGTGATGTCCAGGGTGGAGAATCAGGGCTCCCATGGGAGCTTTATTTTCCTATGACCTCAGAGGGAAGAAATGACAAAGGCACTGGCTAAGCAGACTTTGTCTTCCACTCCAGGAACCAGAGCCAGAGTCAACTCCCTATGCTGGACAAGGCGCAGTGTGAAACATGGGAACCTTGGGCTCTGAGAATGTGCAACCAACTCCTAGAATTTAAACCACCTTTGAGCCCCTTGCAGATTCCTCTTCATGATGATCCCCACCAACATCTCAGGGACATAATCCAAGGCATGTATCCCCACTCAGGGTTCAGCCTTAGTGAGAAATTTTCCCTGGGAGCTTGGGATCCACATACTCTCCCTTCTATCCATCTCTGGAACAGAGTTGAGCCTGTGGGTTCTGGGGACAATGAGGCCACAGAAATACCACTAATATGAGTTACCTTCTGTGGTCACTGCTGTAGTTTCTTCAGTTTCATAGATAACATCTGCAAAATGGAAAGGAAGAAGTCATTGGATGTTGGTGTTCACTTGAATCTCAGAAGCTGGAGCTTGCATCTCACATGCTAAAAAACCTTCCAGCACTGAAATTATGTGACTTCCTTGTTGAATCTGATATTGACCTTTTGTTACTTTCCCATTGAGATGTCACCACAAACATCTTTTGTCTCTCACCCTCATTCATCCCTTTTCTTATACTCCATTCAAACTACCACCCAGTTCACTAGCAGCCCCAACCTAGGCACTAGCTAGGAAATGGCCAGATGACGTTTGAATTCAAAAGGCATTTGACTGTTTCTGTAGTTCAAACACAACCTCTCATTATAAACATTATCATCACTAAATATTCCTGAGAAGGTGGCCCCAACAAGAAAGAGAGAATGCCTTGGTATTTGAATTTGTACCAGCATCGTGTAATCAATCAGATATCATTTTTTAGGATTTGTTTGGTTAGATCAGGGAGAATTTGTCATCCCTCTTTTGGTGTGTTTTTTGCTTGTCATTTAGTACCCAATAAAGAGAACATATTGGCCACTCTTTGCTTTGAATTTGTTTTGGACATTTACATAAAGGACCAACAGTTGCCTCATCAAGTACTTCCTTTAAACAAAGAGCAACTGCCCTTTGAGTTAAGGATAATCTTGATGCCACTCATCAGAGTGATGTTATCTGTGAGCTCTGATGTGCTAAAGCCTGTCTACACCACTTCCCAGCCTGTGACACTCTGAGCCTCAGTGTCTTCATCTATGAAGAGAGACTGATGTATGTAGCCTCTAACATCAATTAAGGCATGACTCACAGCAAAGCAAGTAAGCAACCATGTGCTGTGCACATACAAGCACAAATACACAAGTTCATACAGAAGCATGGTGTTGCCTAAGACTGTGCATGCAATGGCTAGAAGCAAGAGCAGCAGCACTACCTGAACACACGACGCCGGCATCTTCCCTGTGGCCACAGTCATGGTTATACCAGCCATCATGCTGACAGCTGGACAGGTAGGATTCCTGTCCCAAGCAGTACACAGCTCCCATGAGAATGTCCCCTGAGCCTTGACCAAAGTAGGCCCCTCCAGGTGCTGATAGAGAATGGCCACAGCCGAGCTGCCGACAGACGACATCTGCATCCTGGGTGTCCCAGCTGTCGTCACACACGGTGCCCCAGTAGCCTTGGTACAGGACCTCCACCCGGCCCTGACACTGATGACCGCCATTCACAAGCCTCAGAGGCAAACCTGCATTGACACAGCAGGAACTGCTTCTCGGCATGCTGTGCCTCTCTTGGCAGGCTGTGCTCTACACTGGCACAACCTTGTTCTCCTTTCTTTTCTCCAGGGCTGTATTATTTGTCATCCCCCATCCTGGACCCTAAATAGTACCTTCTTCATAGTCTTCCCACTTTGCTCTACCCCACATTCTCTGAAAACTTCCCAGACAAGGGACCCTAAAAGTCACCTCCTCAGTCCTAATTTAGCCCCAAGAGTCCAGTGCAAAGCTCTAGGTCCACATTCCATTAGCTTCCAGGATATCCATGTCTATAACTCTAAACTCAGTCTCCATACTCATCAGAATCCATGTGCCACCCTGTGTGCTAGGAAGTGCTAGTAATGTGAACATCAAGTTGCATCTCTCTCTCTCTCTCTCTCTCTCTCTCTCTCTCTCCACCTCTTCACTCAGCTCTCACCAAGGCTGTCACACACCCTGCTCTGGAACCTCTCTATCCAACTCTGCCTTTGCCTAGATCTTATCTAATACTTGCTGATCAGTGTCCCAGCCAGACTTCTTGAAAGGCATGCTTCATGCCCATCGCTGTCTTGAGGACTCATCTCTGTCCCCTGATTGGTTCTTGAGTTTCATCTTAACAAAGTACATTTATATTTTAGTTATTTCCATGCCCAAAGTGCTTCAGCATTTTCCAGGAATCCCAGTGCTTGGGTGGCTAAAGATCTCTGATAAAGTTCAGAATTATCTGCATAAGGAGTTCCAGTTCAGCCAGAGATACATAGTGAGACACCACCACCTCACACACAGAGAGAAAAAGGGGAGAGAGAGAGAGAGAGAGAGAGAGAGAGAGAGAGAGAGAGAGAGAGAGAGAGAGAGAGAGAGCACTGGGGGATCTCACCATGTAGCTCTGGCTAGAACTCCTTATGTAGACAATACTTCAGAGTACTCGGATTAAAGGTACATGCCATCATTCCTGGCAAATGTCGAAGCACTTTGGGCATGGAAGTTACTAAAAATATACATGTACTTTGTCAAGATGAAACTCAAGGACCAAGCAGGGAACAGAGATGAGTCCTCAGGACATCAATGGACATACCTGATTGTGGGTGTGGGGATGGCCTGATGTAGTCTGTCCTAAGTTCAAATCTCACCTTCCTATTGTCAGCCAGAGAACTGTACACATGCAAGTATTGACATATTATCTAAGTATATGTTTTTTCATCTGTAAAATGGAATTAATAATACTTACCTCAAAATATTGGGAAGGTTTCATGATAATAGCACATATTACCTATACTAGCTGAGCATTGATTATGTGCAATATTTTTAATTGTTGAGAGATTTTTTATATTTAATTATGTACACAGGCATGTGTCTGTGTGCGGGTATGTGCACATCAGTACAAGGGTCCATAGAGGCCAGAAGAGCATCAGAACAGCTGGAGATGGAGGTATAGGTAGTTATGAGCTACCCAATATGGGTACTTAAAACTATTCTTGGCAGTGGTGGTGCAAGCCTTTAATCCCAACACTCTGCAGACAGGGGCTAGGGTATCTTTGTGAGTTCAAGGCCATCCTGATCTATAGATCAGGTTTCAGGACTACACAGAAAACCCCTGTCTCAGAAAAGAAGGAGAAAGAAGAGGAGGTGGAGGAGAAAGAGAAGGAAGAAGAGGAGGAAGAGAGGAGGAGGAGAAGCAGAAGAAGCAGAAGTGGAAGCAGAAGAAGAAGAAGGAGAAGAAGAAGAAGAAGAAGAAGAAGAAGAAGAAGAAGAAGAAGAAGAAGAAGAAGAAGAAGAAGAAGAAGAAGAAGAAGAAGAAGAAGACGAAGAAGAAACAAACAACTTGGGTCTTGTACACATTTTGATGTGTTCATTTCATACATGAAAATGACTTGGGTTGGAGTGCATAGCAAGTTATCTGGCTCTTGATGGTGATGTTATTTACCTTTGCAAGAACGGCTCTTATTGTACAAAGGAAGAAACAATGACTATTTCCAACCAGCTTTTCTGACACTAGACTAAAGATAATTTCACCCACCAAGTGACTGAAAGGCATGGGGAAGAAGGAAAGGGAAGGACATGGATTGGTGGAGTACACCCATGTCTCTCATCTTGACTCCATCCTTGAATTCTGTGTCCAAAGCTGCAATTGGATTCCACTAGACAGCAGCAGCAGCAGGGTGGTCATCTGGCTGAGCTAGCTCCACTGTCAACTTAGCACATCTTAGATGCTGGGTTTGTCTAAATCACATTTGCTTATGGCAATGACTGTGGGCAATTGTCTTGATGGATAATTGAGGGTGACTACCAGCCCAGTGCCCTGGGCATGTGAACCTGTGCTGTATAAAAATGCTAGCTAAGCATGAGCCAGAAAGCCAGTAAGCATGGCTCCTCCAAAGCTTCTGCACCAGTTCCTGCCTTGGGCTCCTGCCCTGGTTTCACTGGATGATGGACTGTAACCTGTAAGCTAAATAAACCCTTTCCCTTCCATTTTCTTATGGCCAGTGTTTTGTCAGGGCAACAGAAAGAAAACTGGTCCCCCATCCTGAGTAGCCTAAAGCCAAAGACTAAGAGCAAAAGAGAAGGCCTTACCATTAATTGTTGGATCCGGATTCAAAAAACCTTAAGAAAGATGAAACTCAGTTTAGAAAAAGATCTACTGTTTAGAAATGGTCTCCTACAGGTTACAAAATTAGCCTCAACTGCATGGTACATTCCTGCTGGGGGTCAGGGAATTTGTCGTTCAGTCTTGGCTATGTGCACTGCCCAAGGTCTTGATCAAAATGATTTTTTTTGCAAAAAAAAGATAAAAGCAAGTGGGTTGGAGATAAAAGTACACATCATTTCTGATACGATAAAGATAAGTTGGGCATGGTAGCACACTCCTGGAGTCCCAGAACTCTGGACCTAGAGGCAAGAGGATCTGGAGTTCAAGGGTAACCTTGCCTACACAGCAAGTCTGAGATCAGTCTGGGCTACATGGGCCTCAAAAATAAATAAATAGATAAATAAACGAGAAAAATATGTACATACTTTCTTGTTTTGAATGCTTAGCAAATCCATGGCCCTATAACCTTGTAAATATTAAAGTCTTATTAATCTTAAGCCAAGCAGGAGTTTTCTCCGAGTATGGAGGAGGGCAGGTTATCCTTTCATATCATATACCAAAGCACAGATCCCAGAGCTGCTCTGTGTCTCCCTCCGAGTCAGATTCTCTAAAGGGAAGAACATGAATCCAGGTACCTGTACTCAGATATTCTATTAGGTCTGACACACACTGAAATTTTAGGAAGGGGCAACATCAGATTGAAGACGTGGCTGATTACCACATGACCCTTTGTGTTCTAGCTGGCAGAAGCTTCTGTTGTCGTTACATGTCTAGATGGGACACAGAGTATTTAGGGAAGCCTCATATCATTCACTATCATTTAGTGAAGCAGTCATTATTATTCTAAACTGATACAGGTCCATCTTTTCAAAGTACTTACCGGATGTGGGGTAGTTTGTTTGAGAAGCTGTAAGGGAATAAAAACAAATTCAGATGTGTGTTTCACCCACAGGGATCCTGGAAAAAAACTTACCTGAGACGGAATAGCACCGACTCTTGATCAACTAGGAACACATGAGGCCAAGTTCACCAACCCCTGAACAGAAAGATTTTGCACCTCTGCTCTGTGGGCTCCCCCAAAATCAAACAACATTGAGGTTCCATTTTCATTGGTCAAATGGGCAAAACAGTCTTAGTACATTCCAGTCGGCACTCTGTACCCATGGTTTCCTTCACAGATTACACATGCAGTGGGGGGAGGGGGGGACACCTTCATCTGTACTAAGCTCGCAGAGACATTCACTCTTGTTGTCTTCCCAGAAGCAATGTGGCACAGCAATGACTTACACAGCCTTGATATTCTATCTGGTGCTGTATCTGAGGATGAGTAGAAGGATACAGGAAAACATGTGTGGGTCACATACCAGGTTATATAAAGACTTGAGGATGAGGGGTGGGTATAAGCAAGGGAGTTCTTAGAACCAACCTCCTATGGAGACTGAGATATAATTGCTCAGGAACAGTGAGGATGTAGTTAATATTGTTCCTGGTTTAGCATATGTGTATTTGTATGTATGTATGTATATGCATTTATTATGGTAACAGCAGGGCTGCTCAGGTCTAGCAGGAGGCATGAGGTTGGGCTGCTCAGTTACATCCTTTGGCTTGCTTGTTGAAATGCATCCTTGTGAGCCAGGCACCCTGTTAGATTCTTGGTACATGTGCCAAGCTGGGCACTACATGAACGAGGTGTGTTCCCTACCCTATAGAGCCTTCCAGCATAGTTAGGACCCTGAAGGCATCATCAGACAGTCTTGTACAGGGGACAAATGCTAGTAGAAATATGGTGTGGGAATATGAATATCTACTGGATGACATGTGTATGGGTGTGCCTGTGTGTCAATGTCCATATCTGTCTCTATGTGTCTGTCTAGGATTGTATTTGTCAGTGTCGTGTGTGTGTGTGTGTAACAATTTCTCTCTATGTCATATCTGTCTGTGATATACTTGTTTGCATGTGAGAATATATGGGTATGTATTTCTGTGTCCATGTCTGTATCTCTCTGTATGTTTTTGTTCATGCAAGTATCTATGTATGTATAGTTTTATCTCTCTTTGTGTGTCTGTGTATGTGTGTGTGCATGTGTGTTTCTAAGTATATTGAGTATAAATCAGGAAAGGGCTTCTAAAGGGGAAAATGCCCCTGGTCTTCTAAAGGGGGAAATGCCCCTGGTCTTTAGAAAGAGCAGTTACAACAAGCTGGTAAAGAAGAGGACAAAATAGACTGTCTCTAGAGACCAGAGCAGTGAGAGTGAGCTGACTTGCCTACAGGTGGCGCTGTTGGAGTGTGGACTGTAGCAAGCATGGCTTTGTATCGTGAGTGAACTGCAGACCCCTTTATGGTAAGGACAGTAATAAATAAATAAATAAATAAATAAATAAATAAATAAATAACCAGGAGGTATGCTGGGCACAGTGGCTCACAGCTGCAATCACA